GTTAATGTGTCACACACACACCTCGGGGTGTGTGTTAATGTGTCACACACACACACACACCTTGGTTACTTCTGTCACTACAAGACGTTCCTTGCAGTGACACAAGTGACTGACACTGACAAAATTAGAAACCCAGTGTTGTTGCCAATTTAGTGCAGCTCAAGACGCTCGGAGTGGCGCACAGACAATTTGTTGTTTGCAGGCCGTTACAAAAGCGTTCGGCCCTTTATGGGGCCGGGGCGAAGCGAAGTCTTGGGTCGTGTCTGGCCCCCCACAGGCCGTATGGGACCCCACCACCACCACCGCCGCCGCCGTGCAAGACAGCAGCAGAGGCCGGCACGTACTGCAGGCTGCTGATGAGGTGAAGGACGTGCTTTCGGTGGACGTGGTAGCGCTCCAGAAGGCCGCCGTAGTTGGAGCCCCGCAATGCCAGCTACCGAGAACAGGCGCACACAGAGAGAGAGAGAGACTGAGCTCAACAACAAACTATAAACTACATTTCGATTTAAAGCTTTCGTGACTGCAGGGATTCATCTTCTTGGTTCTTTCGGTAAAGTCACGTAGAATGGAAATAATAAAATAATAAAAATAAAACATAATAAAATAATTATCACGACGTTTCGGCCACAACGCAAGCAGCCGTCCTCAGGTGAAGAACAGGTCTGAATTGGTCTATAATAAGGTAATAAGGTAGGGCACTGATAAGGGGTTGACAGGTAATAGTGTATAGTGTAGTGTATAGGATGAACGTTGAGATTTGTCAAGGCACGGGGTGACCAATAAAATCTTAATTGGTCTGTAATAAGACAGCGTCTTTCCGACAGACCTGTTCTTCACCTGAGGACGGCTGCTTGCATTGTGGCCAAAACGTCGTGAGAATTATTTTATCATGTTTTATTGTTATTATTTTATTATTTCTACAAACTACATATTTTTTTTACTTGAGCATATTGGCACAAGACTAGAAGAAAGTGGAAACAACTGACATGTACAGAGGACACCTACGAACTATCTGCCCAGTGATGGTGATGATTTTCCATATTTTACCAGGTAAGGCCCACTGAGCAATGCAGCTCTTTTTCAGAAGCAACCGGGCCACAAATGATAACTCAACGAAGTGGCTTATCACGTGGACATTTATAGCAGTCAAACACTCTCAACGCATGTTTCTAAATATGACGGAAAAAAACAGAGGACCCGGAGAAAGATCCACACTACCACGGGGAAATAGACATGCAAACTCCAAATATACAGCAGGCATCAGGATCGAACCCACGATGACCTCCTGTATACCAAGTGAGGTAGTTAACATCTTGCCACCCTGGCACCCAAATTGTCAAAAGTAGCAACAGCAGACCTGTCAACCCATCCGTTTAACCCTTATTCTTGTACAGGGAAAGTTAGTTGTACAGGTCCATACGGCATACGGCCGTTGATATACGGGCAAAGTCATGTTTGTGTCAATTTGTGTTGTGTTTCTCCCTTGTGATGGGACTTTGTAGGATGAACGTTGAGATTTGTCAGGGCACGAGATGACCAATAAAGTCTGAATTGGTCTGTAATAAGGTAGGTGCACTGATAAGGGGTTGACAGGTATATAGTATAGAGTACAGCAGAGGAGTGTATAGTGTATAGTCAGGGCACGGGGTGACCAATAAAGTCTGAATTGGTCTGTAATAAGGTAGACAGACACTGATTAGGGGTTGACAGGTATATAGTATAGAGTACAGCAGAGGAGTGTATAGTGTAGTGTATAGGATGAACTTTGAGATTTGTCAGGACACGAGATGACCAATTAAGTCTGAATTGGTCTGTAATAAGGTAGGCACTGATTAGGGGTTGACAGGTCTGCAATAGTCTAAAGAGATTTTTCTGCTCAAACGTTGCGAGTCAGGTGAGTGAGCGTGGTGAGTGGTTGGTGCATGTGTCTGTAAGGTGAGCACAGGGTGAGGGGTCCTCACCAGTTGCCTAAAGTTCTTCCTCAAGGAGTGTGGTGAGGAGTGTGGTCAGGAGCGTGGTGAGGAGCGTGGGGAGTGGTGGTGAGTGTTGTGGTGAATGTTGGTGAGTGTTGCGGTGAGTGGTGGTGAGCGTTGGTGAGTGGTGGTGAGTGTTGGTGAGTGTTGTGGTGTTGGTGAGTGTTGTGGTGAGTGTTGGTGAGTGGTGGTGAGTGTGTGGTGAGTGGTGGTGAGTATTGGTGAGTGTTGTGGTGAGTGTTGGTGAGGTTGGTGAGTGTTGTGGTGAGTGGTGGTGAGTGTTGGCGAGTGGTGGTGAGTGTTGGTGAGGGTGGTGAGTGTTGGTGAGTGTGGTGGCGAGTGTTGTGGTGAGTGTTGGTGAGAGTGGTGGTGAGTGTTGTGGTGAGTGGTGGTGAGTGTTGGTGAGTGTGGTGGTGAGTGTTGTGGTGAGCGTTGGCGAGTGGTGGTGAGTGTTGGTGAGTGTTGGTGAGTGGTGATGAGTGTTGTGGTGAGCGGTGGTGAGTGTTGGTGAGTGTGGTGGTGAGTGTTGTGGTGAGTGGTGGTGAGTGTGGTGGTGAGTGTTGTGGTGAGTGTTGGTGAGTGTTGTGGTGAGTGTTGTGGTGAGTGTTGGAGTGAGTGTTGGTGAGTGAGTGTTGGTGAGTGGTGTGGTGAGTGGTGGTGAGTGTTGTGGTGAGTGGTGGTGAGTTGTGGTGAGTGTTGGAGTGAGTGTTGGTGAGTGGTGTGGTGAGTGGTGGTGAGTGTTGTGGTGAGTGGTGGTGAGTGTGGTGGTGAGTGTTGGTGAGTGGTGGTGAGTGTTGTGGCGAGTGTTGGCGAGTTGTGGTGAGTGTATGGTGAGCGTTGGCGAGTGTTGTGGTGAGGGTGGTGAGTGTAGTGGTGAGTGTTGGTGAGAGTGGTGATGAGTGTAGTGGTGAGTGTTGTGGTGAGTAGTGATGAGTGTTGGTGAGTGTAGTGGTGAGCGTTGGCGAGTGTTGGTGAGGGTGGTGAGTGTAGTGGTGAGTGTTGGTGAGAGTGGTGATGAGTGTAGTGGTGAGTGTTGTGGTGAGTAGTGATGAGTGTTGGTGAGTGTAGTGGTGAGTGTTGGTGAGAGCGTTGGTGAGTGTTGGCGAGTGTGCCAATGCACACGACGCGTGCAGGACAAGGTGACAGAGCCGAGTCGCATGGCCACTGTGAAGATGCGAGCCGCGTGTGTTGAGTTTCGCTACAACGCCGCTCTTCGCTCCTCACATGGTGAGGGTGAGTGCACCTGTTGCTCACCAGCTGCCTGAGGTCTTCCTCGGACAGGGCGGCGCATTTGTATCGCTGCTGCTCGAACTCGTAGCGGGTCGTCTTCTCGAGCACCAGAGCCCGGGCCACGCGGGGCGGCTCCGTGGAGCCTGCGCCTTTCCTGCCCGGCCCGCCGGGAAAGTGACGCCTCGCCGGGCAGGCGCAGTCCGACCGACCGCCTCCCTCGGGGTCCACGCGGCCCGATGGTTTCGCAGCAGTCGCAGATGTCGTCGTCTTTCCGATAGAAGCAGGCAAACCGGGTTGTGGTGGTGGTGATGATGGTGGTGAAGTGTGGGGACAGGGAGAGACACTGAGGGCTCTGCGGCCCAGAGGGGATAAGAGGAAACCCGAACAGAGAAGTCGCCGCATGGCACCGCTGAGTGAGTGCGAGGTAGTGAGATTGTCCCCTGCTCCTCCTCCTGCTCCACCACCACCTCTCCTCCTGTCACCCTTTCACAACTGTTCCCCACTTCTCTCCTTTCCTATCAAGCTCGAGCCCTGCAAGTGCTCTCCCACCACCAGTAGTTCAACCACGCTCTCTCCTCCTCTGCTGTTCTCTTCCTCATTCCTGGCTGCCCCGGGTCCTCTCCTCCACCCCTCCTCGGTCCTGTCCTTCAGTCATCTAAACCCTTATCATTCATGGTCTCAATGTCCTCACCTACTGCCCACTCTGTTAATCAAGTCTCCCGTTAACCCTCCCCCATCTGCAACCACACCAACTCCTCTCTCATCTCATTCACTTGATACAGCTGTCGTGGCTGTGACGGTTCCACCTGAAGACGGAAGCTTGTGTTGCCTCCGAAACGTCGTGATTTTTATTTTATTTTTTATTAATTTTAATGTTTTTTACCTACGTGACTTTACCGAAAAAACCTAAGAATATCTCATCATCCTGTCTTCCACAATAGATCTACTCTCTCTCTCCTCCCACTCCCAAATCCTTTCAACAATCAAGGACCCTGACTATACTTTAAAAACGATACATTTGATAATTGTTTTTTTTTTACCTTTTTATCTGGCAATAAAACTGACACCTTTTTTACAATGAGTCATGTTTGCACAGACCACAATACCTGCAGTCGGAATGCAAACAAAAAACATAACTCTGATAATGTATGCACTGTCCTTGAAGTTGATTGGTCCACACCCGAGACAGCTTTCTTTAGAGCCTAGTCTCAAATGGTGTTGGACCAGATGACGCCAAAAGGCGCACGACTCAAAGACAATGCACCAGAAAGCTGTCTCGGGTGTGGACCAATCAATTTCAAGGACAGTGCATACATTATCAGTTATGTTTTTTGTTTGCATTCCGACTGCAGGTATTGTGGTCAACGCAAACATGACTCCTAAAAAAAGGTGTCAGTTTTATTGCCAGATAAAAGGGTAAAAAGCCAATTATCATATTTTGCTACTGGCAAATGCGGTTCCAATAACGATACATATATTTTTTTATTTTACCAGGTAAGGCTGACTGAGCTGAAGTTATTTTTAACAAGCGACCTGGCCACAAATAATAGCTCAACGGAGTGGGCTTATCGTGTGGACATTTATAGCAGCCAAATACTCATAAAAGAACACGCAAATGTACAGCAGGCGTCAGGATCGAACCCACGGGCCTCCTGCATACCAGGCGAGGTAGTTACCATCTTATTGTCTTTCAATAGTCTACAGTTTTATTTCAATCACATTTAAATTGACAATCTGGGTTATTGTGGCAGACCATCAATGAGTAAAACGTCAAGAACACCCAAACGACGTATTCCCTCAAATGCTTGAAGCTGTTTAATAAGTACAGAATATTTACACACACGTTAAAATAATCATATAAATACCGAATATGGTGATTGCAAGTCATACATTACCATTAATAAACTTATACGGTACTGTCCCTGCAGATTCATGGCAAGAAAATTGGTCTTTGATTATTACCCAAACCCTTAACTATATCCCCTAACTCCCAACTGAAACTTTGGCCTAAACCTTAAGTATAACCTTAATTCCCAACACTAACCCCTAAAACAATAGGGTTAAAGATGTGCATTCAGTTTCAAGGTGATTTTGTTGAACCTGGCGAGGAACTCGAGACCAGGATGAGTCAATTGCAAGCGTGACCTGGAGCAAGGCATCATTCTCCTAATAATGGGGAATGAATACGGTGTCAAATCTCATTTCAACACGTAGGCTTTTGCGACCAATATCTATAATAGAGGGAGGGGGTGGTTAGATCGTGTAATTTCCATCTAACCCAAAAAAACATGAAAAAAAATTCCATTTATTTAATTTGTGGTTAACTTTAGAATTTGGCAAATTGTGGACCTTGGCGCCAGCACACAATCGTTTCCTCTTGCCAATGACATCAGGGGATCTTTAACGTCCAACGTGAAACAGATGACATGTAGTAGTCCAGCATTCTGGTTATTACACCCACGGTAAATATGCCTCAGCATCTTAAAGCGCCTTACGTAAACAATCGAATTTCAACCATTCTATTCCATTGCCCTGTGGCAGTCTGGGAGAGATCAAACATTACATCAACAACAACGTGTGTATTATTGTGCCCCTGATGCAAGACATCTCAGAGCACAGTTGTTTTAGTCTAGGGGACCCCAAGCGGCAACTGTCCGCACGCAGCACGTGTACGTTTGATGAACTTGTTTCACACCGTATTGTCCACCAGTCGTGTTTGTTTTTGTGCTGCCCTTTGTTAATTTCACTGCTATGTGCCTGATGAAACCCCAACACACTAAACCCTAACCCCAAACAACACTAAACCTGAACCAAAAAACCAAGGAAGGTCTGTCATTGGACGAAAACCTGCAGGGACAACTGTGCCACTCAATTTATTTCACCCACAATCTACAGAGACGGAAGGTAGCCCCCTCTACCTTACTAAAATACACAATCATATCACCGACAAAATGTACATGTAATCGTTTAAATAAAAAAAAGAAAACCCCACAGTGTACTTGCAAAATAAGTCCATTCACCAAATTTGTTACATTTTATACAGTAGTTCCATTAGTCCATTAACCTGAGCTGTAGCAGTAGGAAACACACACACATACACAACTCACGACGTGCGCGTACGATTCACTCAACACTTGCATACGGTACTGAAAAAAATCCACGCACGCATGAGTCATCGTCACGTTATGCAAAATAAATAATATCTTGTAGAATGTACGTAAATGATCAATGTGCAGTGATTTCCTCTCGTGCATCACAATCACCCGCCCCCGCCCACTTAACAGTTGCAAGGTTAAAAGTCAGAAGTTATACAAAAACGAAAAAGACACCGTTCCCTGTATGTGCAACTTGTAGATACCAATAATCGCACGTCCATAGCAGCCAACAGAGAGATGTGCGGTGGAGTCGCGACCGTAATTCGCACGGTCACTTGTCGCACGCCGAATGACCAACAACGCCAGGAAAAGCACCCGATCTCATCGGAGCTTGGAAGCTAAGCGTGCCCTGGCCTGGCCGGTGCTTGGACAGGCGACCGCCATGCGCACCACAGCTTGTTTTAGGCTGTGGGGTTATGTGGTGGGCAGCACGGCGCACCATTGCGCAGCTGTACTTCACTGCTCTCAAATACTCTCCCCTGCCTTCACCAACCCCTGCTGACCAGCATTGAAGCACGGTCAAACAAACTCCACAAGTCCGCATGGCGCGTTGATGCCTTCATCCAGCAGTGCATTGACACAGGACGGTAGAATGTACCAAACCTGTTGCACACATTTACGCGAGGCCACAACCTCGCCCAAAATCATCTGAAGCTACCAATTTTCTTGGGAGGCTCCGCCAGGGCACAGTTGTGGGGGCTGGAACCCCTTCCTGGCATTGACTTCCACCCAACATAAGAGTGGGCCTCACTCTTTCCGACACTGGGCCTCACCCATTGCTCATAGGCCTCGCCTACTCTTCTCTGTCGACCCTGCCCACGACTCCGGGTAGCCCCACGTATCATCACAAGTCCAGTACACGGGCCAGAACATTTTAAACCCGCAGACAAAATCCCCATTTACACACAAGCGTCCGGAGGACACCAGGACAGCTTTTCTGATTTTGAGGAGAGTGTCCCTGCCATTTCAGAAGGTCTGGTGACATTACATAAACCCCTTAGGTCAGGCACCAATTTGGAGCTACTTAGCAATCGGCTAACCTTACAAACCCTGCCGGTCCACGTCACGACACGATGGCACGTTTGTCAGCGGCAAACACCTCGGACAGTTGTAAACATAACGCAGGAAGCCAACGCGAATGTTTCCACAGCCCGTGCGATATAGACTGAATCGATCCCAATATGGTAAGTCCACATTAAACCGTCCAATTGCATTGCATCATTGCATCAGCATTGCGACAACATCAAAAACACACAACCGACATGTCCTCTGATAGTGTAAATGTACAGCAGCCAAGGTTTGTTTTGCCTCTTGGGCCAGTGGTAGCCAGCGATTGGCCAAAATTGGGTTAGCTGTATTCTCGGAGTGGAATGATTAATCCGTTCCCTGCGATTGGACGAATTGTCACGATTCTGAGTCGTGATTCAATAGTCAATTAGTATTTGTAGCACCTCTTTACATCAGAGAACAGCTCTCACCGAAGTGAGTACCACAGAAGCGGACTTTCCAACCTGCTGTGCCACAAAGAGTGGTGTTTATCACATGACAGTAAAACCAATACATTTAATTCTTAGAGTTGGAATTTATCCAAATTAGGTGCAAAAACTAATTTAGAGTCTTGGTGACCATTAATGCACCGGGCCACCATTTTAACAAAGCATTAAATGGCAGCGCGTCTAGTGGATTTGGTGGCAATTAAAAAAACATTTACCCTTGCACAATTCAACGCATGTTTCGTGAACTTAAGAACCCATACGAACGAGTATCGATGTTCTCGCAAGCACTAGCAAGGATAAAACTGCCGTAGAGTTGCCTCGTTCCGCATCTGCAGCCTAAATGAAAAAAATGCCAGGCGCGTCTCTTGCATTGGGTGGTCATCACAAGGCTGCGCGTCAACGCTTTGACAAGGAGCACTGCAACGCGATCTCGCCGAGCGGCGGAAAAATATCTTGCGACCGCTTAATAAAAAATAAACAACGCAGCCTCCGAATGAGTAAGCATGTCACCGTCCGTGCTACAAGGGACACACGCTGTTGACGTTGAGCAGCACTGGCTCGAGAGGCTGGGTGTCGTCCGGCTCGTCGATGCACAGGCGGTAGCCGCAACCCTTGCGCTGCACCTTCTGCAGCGGCGTGACGCGCCGGCCCCGCGGCGGCAGCAGGAAGGAGAGCGAGCCGGCGATGAGCATGTGCCAGAGCGAGTGCGTGTAGTAGTAGTTCTTGTCCGTCTCCACCACCACGTAGAGCATCACGGCCGTCAGCGCGATGACGGTGCCCGGCAGCAGGAAGAAAACCCAGCGACGCCACGACGGCGGGTAGCAGTGCCGGCGCCGCACCATCCGCACCGCCTGCGCGCGGGCGCAACAACGCAAACACAAGAGCCGCATTACACCACACGCAACCTGCCAATCAACTGCGGTGTACCCACCTATACCACTGGGTAGACAGAGGTGGTGGGACATGGGGGGGGGGGGGAAATTAACTAAATTAGTTTCAACTGCCGTGCCGGGAGATCGAACCGAACCGGCGACCCCCGGATTGGAGAGTTCCCGTGGCGTAAAGATTCTCGCCGAGGGGTGCGCACGCTCTCTTGTGGTGGTGTGGCTGGCTGTGGTTCTGCACGGTGGCGGTGCGGTGCCTTGCCCAAGCGATCGCCAGCAACACGAGGGCGAAGAGCGTCGGCCCCAGCAGGTTCCACAGTCCGTGTCGGTCCATTTGCACCACCATGGCGAGCACGAGCGCTCCGAGCAAGTACAGCACCTGCGGCGGAAACGCATCAACGTCACAAGGCAGCGGTGGCCAACACGTGGATCTCGATCAAAATCAGAACACTAACATAGGCAGGCAACATTCATTAGGGCTGATGGCAAATAACAATCCGCGAATAGGAATTAGTACGTTAAAAAATACTAATTTCTACCGAGAGATGACGCTAGTACATTATTGGGTAGAGGAGGGTGTACAGCACAACATTTTATTTTCGTGATCCGACCAAACCAAAAGCCATTTCGATTTAAAGCTTTCGTGACTGCAGGGATTCATCTGAATAATTCAGAACAGGTCTGTCGGAAAGACAGCGTCTGAATTATTCAGACGCTGTCTTCTCGACAGACCTGTTCTTCACCTGAGGACGGCTGCTTGCGTTGTGGCCGAAACGTCGTGAGAATTATTTTGTTTTATTTTTATTATTTTATTATTTCCCTTCTACGTGACTTTACCGAAAGAACCAAGAAGACAAAAGCCATTTGTTGAGTGGTGAATGTGGCCACCCACAGGAGACGACAGGCTGACGTTGCGGCGAGCGTGTTGGCCTAGTTCCCGGGTACGAACCTCTTTGGCAACGGTCTGCAGGCGAGCCATGCAGATGAGGGTGACCCAGACGCACATGAGGGAGCCGAAGAAATCGCAGTACTGCAGCACGTCGTAATCCATGATGCACAGCACGGTCACCCCGGGCTGGTCGCAGGCGTGGTAAAACTGCAAGCAACACAAGAGATCCCCCGTGAAGCCGACATCGAATGTTGGGGCGGCAAGAGCTGGTTAGAGAGTAGTAGCTGCTGGTGTTTAGACACCATCGCAACAGGTAGTCATTTAACTGGCCCAAGACCAGTTCAAATATTCGCCACTGTTACTTGATCGTGGGCGGGAATCGAACTCAGGTCACCAAATTGGTAGTGCAGCGCGCTAATCGCTGTGTCTCTGCCTCCCGACGCCCAAACACACGTATAATTCACAGTGCATTATAGGTTTTTACCCTTTCAACTGGTACAAAAACTGACACCTTTATACAAGGCATCTTGTTTGCAATAACCACAACACAAGCAGTCAAAATGCAAACAAAAAGAAACAACTCTGATAATGATAATGATATGCACTGTCCTTGAAGTTAATTGGTCCACACCCGAGACAGTTTTTCTTAGAGCCTAGTCTCCATTGGTGTTGGACCAGATGACGCAAAATCAACATGCGGATTTTTCAACTCACACAGTAACAAGGTAATACCATAGTTTCCACCCTATGACAGAACCAATAAAGATCAAGTGACACGTGAGCTCGAGTGACAAGTTGGTTTGATTGGCTCTATCGGGTAGAGATGAAAGTCGGCATTATACCTCCACGGTCTCGCCCAAGAAGTAACGAATTTTAAATCAAAACGTTGGTCGTCAAAAAAGCCTACGTACAAAGCTAAAATAATGTTGTTTACATCTACGAAGGACGCCGTACAGTCCTCACCTGCGGGTATTTTTACACCAGACAGCACAAGTCGAGGCATGCGCAGGGCATGCAGCTTCAGAGTGATTTATATTTGGCCTGTAAACAATTTACCCACCACAGTGGTTTGTTAAATTACGACGACTTGGAACTGAGATTAGATTCATGAACGGGTTATTTGTCATCTCCGTTTGTAGCGTGTCTCATTTCCCCCTCCCCCCCTCCTCATTTTGCCATCTACAGCCAATTCAATCACTTGTCATGCACGATTCACGGTCACGATTCAATTCAAGAATCATCAGCACGGTTGGCTATGTACAGCACGAAAGTAGTTCAACATACTTCCATACATTAATTTACTTTCATACGTGGGCTTCCGTGAACAATATCATGAATGATAATTCATTTCTTTGAACGTGTAGTGTATAATGCTAATTTTCAACGAGGCCCTCCGTCACCCACCCGACAGAGCAAATCAAATCAAGCCGTCACGTGGGTAAACATGCCAACTGCCTTGGTTTATCAACAAACCGGTGGAGAGATGAAAAACGAGGAACGTTTTTTGAAAATATATTTTTTTACGTGTGTTTACGTTTCACTGGAAATGACATCCGGGATCATCAGGTGTTGAGAAAAGCTCAGCTCTCGTGCGAATCAGCTTCGCGGATAATCATTATTTTCTTTGGACATCGCAAACAGTCACGTGAGAGCATGTCCCCAAAGCATTCAATATATTAACGCTGAATCTAATTACAATGCACGTGATGATTCCCTAACAAGCTATTTGACAAAAAGACACAATTTGGGATTTTGATTACATGCAAGAATGTTTTTTTTTAATCATCACATTTGTATTGTTTTTATTCTGTCTCATGTGTAAAGTGTTGTCCTCCATTAGGCTTGATTGAATAGGGGTGTACAGATTCAATTAATTGTTGATTAGAGCAGCGATTCATGATCTACAGTCACAGAATGACCCCTGTGACTGCAGGTGGTAATGTCGACTCGTGAAAGAAAAGATTTGCAAACTGAAAAACCATACTGCCAACAACACCTCAAGTAGGAATTGATCCCCAAAGATTCTTCGACAGTCACTTCCGAAGCTCGTGATACACGCGTTGAATCACGAGTGTAAGAATCGAGTGTTTTTGGATCTGTCTACATTTTGTAGTTCGACTCGGCCTCAAATGAGTACCTGGTGCGATGTGTAAACATCGGCACTCAGGCATGGTGCTAGCCACTCAACTCAGCACCTCGTGCGCTGTACGGGCCTTCATATGGGCTTGCGAACAGCCCTTGCCCCAAAAGTCTGTTAAGGCTAAATGGGGGGTCTTTGTCTTTGTTTTATTGTGTACGTGCAATGGGTTCACGAGACCCCCTGCAGCCATTGGAGGAGCTACATTCACGAGATTGTTGAACAGAGATTCGAGTCTTCAAAGCAAATGTAGTCCCCCGAATTGCTCCGATTCGTCAGATTCACCGAGGAAGGTGAGTGGACGAGTAGCGTTGACTTTGCGGAGGGAATAAAAACCGAGACATATCATGGGAAGATGATTATCTCAATATCGGAAGAGGGGAGGAACTGTATGTGAATGAATTGCATTGGGTGGTATTATTATTATTATGAAGACTTACAGATTTCCCAGGAAAAGCTACTCGGCAAAGGCCAATCCTGGAAAAACCAGGACAGGTGGCAACCCGAACGGCGAACGAGTGAAATCGTTCCACCCATACTTCACCGCGGGCGTAGCAAGGCAACGCATGATGGCACAACCCGTGGCGTACACAAACGACGAGTCAGCCTCAGCAGGCGCAAGCCCGCACGGCGCGACCTCACCGTGGAGAAGAACATAGTGTAGGTGTAGACGGAGGCTTCCATGAGGAGGTGGTTACGCAGGGCGATGATGATGGGCGGGATGAAGAGAAGATTGCTGAACGTGAGCAGAATCACGTGGATCATCTGCTCCCCGTAGGACAGAGCGTTGCTGCCATCCGTGCAGCCCCAGCCATCCCAATCTGCACACAACAACATCAGCAGCAGCAGCAGCCGCCATTCGCCACTTAGTGATGGCGACTTCACCATACCGCTTGTGCCAGGCTAGGTGCACTTTGAGGCCACGTCCAAGTGTGGTTAGGCTCGCAGTAAGGATGTCACAGGCCCGATCCCAGGTGGCATGGGCTAACTTACTGAGATGACTGGAAGATGCACCACCTGTGCTCCCCAGTGACATAGTGGGCACATGCACACAAGCAAGACAAATGCAAAGATCTGGCGTATAGTCATACAGGTACTGCGAGTGAGCATCTATAAAAACTTGCACAGCCAAAACAAATTAAAATATCACGTGGTGTGCAAGCGTCGAACGTGCCAATTATCACCGTTTCGACTCGCCAAGCAGTCGCGAGCCGGCGGACGATTCTCACGAACCAAATTTAGCGACCAAGACCGAGAAGTTCCTGCTTGAAACTACGTCAAGCAACACTCAGGAAATGGTCAAAATAGAATCCAGGCAGCCGGTGCGTCGAGTGCTCACCGGCACGGCAGCGGCAGGCAGCCAGCATGTAGGAGTAGGAGCGCAAGAGGTGGCACTCCCCGTACGTCCCGCAGCTGTCGATGCACGGCGACAGGAACATGCGGAGGCTGACCTGTGCGCTCGTGTTGGCGCACTCCGCCAGGGAGCTGGCAACAAAGACACGGGGGGGTAGGGGGGGGTGCGGGGGGGAGGTGTTGGAGCGTGCGATGTACAAGGCAGGCGCGCGCGCGTGCACACACAACGTGACTATAATGATCACACGGCCAAGTGTGTTTGGCGTCACACAGCTCGTACGCAAACACACGGAGGGACACAGACACACACACACAGCACAGAAACACAAACAAATCCACACAGCTACAACAGTTGCCACTAAGAGACGGCGCCTGCACGGCATCACTTGTGCCAGGCTAGGTGCACTGTGATGCCACGTGACGTGTGGAAGACTCGCTGCTGTCAGGACGTCACAGGCCAGACCCGGGCGTTTTGGGTTAACTGACTGCAAGATGCACCACCTGCGCTCCCCACTGTATGTATGTATGTTGAACTTCTTTTGTGCCGTGCGTAGCCAACCGTGTTAATCGGAGGTGCGGATGACTGTGCTACTCACAGACGCACAAACATAGACAAAGACCCCCCCATATAACCTTAACAGACTGTTGAGGCAAGTGCTGTTAGCGAGCACCTCTGAAGACCGGAGCGGCACACGACAGGGTGAGTGGTGAGCACCACGCAAAACCGCGAAGCATATGCACCGGACAAAGTACTCATTTGAGCCTGAGTCTACCTAGGGGAGGCCCAGGGCCGGTTCAAATAATCGTCACTACTGTTGGCCGTGAGCGGGAATCAAAATCGGGTCGCCGAGTTTGTAGCGCAGCGTGCTAACCGCGACACTACCGCTCCCCACACAGACGTGCACACACACACCAATACGACTGTGGGTGGGGCTGCCAGTGTCTCGTGCGTACCTGTTTGTCCCGCAGAGGTTCCGCAGCGTCACGTACCAGCGCCCCGGCTGGGGAAAGGGCAGCAGCAGGCGAGCCCGTTCGGCTCCGGGCCGAACCCACACCAGGCTGCCCTCGGAGCTCACTGCAGCGCAAGCAGCGCACAAGCAACTCCGTGAGCACAGCACACGCACCGTTCAACCGCCACCGTCTGATCCACGTTCGGATCGATAGTTTGGGTTCGGCCACCTAGTTGGTAGTGGTGGCCTCTCTATATGGGGTGCCACTGTGGCGAGATGTTTACTACCTCGACTGGTATACAGGAGGTCGTGGGTTTGATCCCGACCCTGACGCCTGTATATTTAGGGTTTGCATGTTCTCCCCGTGGTTGTGTGGATTTTTCTGCGGGTTCTCCGGTTTTTCCCTCCTTATTAGAATCAGCGTGCGTTTAGAGTATTTGGCTGCGATACATTTCCACGTGACAAGCCACTTCGTTGAGCTATCACTTGTGGCCAGGTCGCTTCTGAAAAAAAGCTACATAGCTCAGTGGTGGGCCTTACCTGGTAAAGGGTCCTTGCCCGAAACGTTGCCCATTGCACAGTTGTTACTTTTAAGGTAGTTGTGTTATAGATGAAGGTATTGAGGGTTGTTTTTTGTTGTTAATCGTGCTTGTGGACCGCTGTCAACGCAGCAGCATCGCCAACAGACTTTTTTGGCAGTGAGGGTTAAATGAGAAGAACTTTGGCATAAAACTACTAAATGTGGTTTTACCCAAATAAAAAAATGTATGTGGATCAAAGCATTGACTACAAAGACCTACATTTAAACCTCCACCCTCTGTGGGCGGATTACCTGGGTTGTGGATTAACCGTGCTCACGAATTGATTTTGTATATTTATTTGTATTATCTAGTAGCTGCTATTCGTTTGTTGTGGGTGAGTCAAGCGGTGTCCACGTGGCCGCAAACACGTAGCTGGCGAGCGGGTTCAATGGATTACGTCACGACATGATAAATATAGATGATACACTCCACGTCTTGGGAGGGTATCAGTGTGTGGCATCGTGGTGATGATGTGTAGGGTGAGTGTTGGTGTGGCGTCGTGGTGATGATGTGTAGGGTGAGTGTCGGTGCGTGGCGTCGTGGCGATGACGCGTAGGGTGAGTGTTGGTGTGGTGTCGTGGCGATGACGCGTAGGGTGAGTGTTGGTGTGGCGTCGTGGTGATGACGCTTAGGGCGAGTGTCGGTGCGGTGCTCACTGGTGCTGCACGCCAGGGTGGAGTTTAGTGAGACGAGCGGCACGTCCGGGTTCAGGCAGGCGAGCACCGTCACGTTGTGGCCTTGCACGGAGCTCTGTGCGCACACACACACGCGTGGGCATGGGGGGGGGGGGGTACACGTGTATGTCTATGACAAAGATCCCTCCGTATAGTCAAAAACAGGCTGTTGTGGAAAATTCTGTGAGTGTGCCTACCTATGAAAGCCGGCACGGCGCAAAAGCAGGTGGGGTGTTGTTAGCACCACGCCCGGCCACTTTCATCTACCCAGTGCTGATGTTTACAAACTGCGCCAGGTACTCATTGAAGGCTGAGTTGACCTAGGTGAGACCCAAGACCAGTCCAGATATTCGTCACCGATGTTTGTCGTTACAGGAAATCGAACACCCCCGCCCAAGTCGTGGTGTCGAGGTGTTAACTTCCTCGCTTGGTGTGCAGGGGGTCGTGGGTTCGATCACGACCCTGACGCATTTATATTTGGAGTTTGCATGTTCTCCTCGTGGTCGTGTGGATTTTGCTTCGGGTCCTCCGGGTTTTCCCTCCACATTTAGAATCAACGTCACGAGTCGACAATTGACGCTCCATCTCCCGCCGCCTCCGAAAAAAACAAAAACCCCCCATCTCACCATGTTGAGCGCGATCTCGAAGTTGAGCGTGGCTCCCCCGTCAAGAAGCGGTCCCAGCTGCAGGCTGAGAGTGACGGGCGAAGCGCTGGTCACCGTCACGTTGGGGCCGTAGAACACGAAGAACTGCGTCGACAGCGTGTTGAGGTCGTTGCGCAGCGTGGGCCGCACGGGCAGGCACAGTTCGGGGACGCCGGCGGGGGCGTCCATCCTCGCGCTCCAGTTTCCCGACAGGGACAGGTCCGCGTCGCGCTGGTACCCGCTGACGACGGGGCCATACTGGGAGCAGTCTGTGAGGAGGTTGTGGGGAGGGGGGTGGGCCGGGGTGGAATGGTAAGTGGTGGTAACAACCAAGTGGCCAACTCTGACCCTCCACATTATCCGTTTAATGACCCGAGTTCCCGCGAAGATGGGCTGTACGTCGCAAAGCCACACGCGCAGGAAGGAGGTGCCGTACCCCGATGACATAATCGACTAGCGTACTAACCAGGTTCAAACCAGCTTAGCTTCTGCTGTCAAACAAGACGTGGCGCACACGCGCATGTATTCGGTGCGATTCCGCTGTAGCGGCAAATGGCGGACGGGTGCGGACACCCCGCTCCACTCCGCCCCACACCCCCCTTTCCCCGACGCGCGGGCTCACCTGTGACGAGCGCGGAGATGAGGAAGGTGACGTTGGCGTTTGTGGCGAGCTTCTCCACGGAGATGTAGTACCACACGCCCCACAGGGGCGACACGGAGAGCGAGCACTCGGCTCCTCCGCTCCTCGAGCAGTCTCGGGCGCTCGAGTTGCTCACCGGCGGGGCTTTGGGGCGGAGCTGAATTCTGAATTCGGGGTCGGGTTACAAAAACGGGCAAAAGAGATTTTGCGACGCGAAAGCGTGTTTGCAATTTAACTAATTTAAATTAGTTTACAGTATATATATATACAGTAAAAGCTTTGATTGCGAGCATAATTCGTTCCGGAAACGTGTTTGTAATCCAAAGCACTCGTATATCAAAGCACTCGTATAGCATACTCTTAATTTTTTCGGTAAAGTCATGTAGGTAAAAAAATGAAATTAAAATGAATAAAAGTAATAATAGAAATAAAATTATACTAATTAAAAATATATTAATAATAATAAACCTCCTTTTATTTCTATTATTACTTTTATTAATTTTAATTTCATTTTTTTACCTACGTGACTTACCGCATTTAAAAGAACCGTCAACGCTGAGCACAAACAGAGGCGAGTTTGCGTCGTGTTGACGCATCTCTTTACGTCGCCCTACCTGACGGGACAGCTGGTAAGGGAGCCATTCCCCGCCTGGCTGCCAGCCACGGAACAGTTGGTGACGGAGATAGTCAGGAGGGTGGAGAACTCCGGGACGTACACCCTGCAGAGACACGCGGTCACACCGCTAAACATTGTGCATTGCGACACTGAACATAATAAATGTTGCGCCTGATTGCAGGCAAATTATAGATTTCATTTAGAGGACATGCCGCTACATCTGCGCCGTGCTCCCAATTGGACGATATTTTCCAAACCCAATCACCATTCAAAGACCCCTGACGTCATCACGTTTTTGGAAACTCAAGGAAGGTTGAGCATGGTTAGTACTTGTGTGAATGACTGCCCGGGAATAGCAGCCGCTGTAGGCTTGGGCTGCGAGGTGGTGAGATGGCCGCAGTTTTATGTGCATCCCTTTGACATGCACGGTGCAATCACTTGGGGTTCTCCGGTTGCCGTCTTCCCAAATTAATCCAATAGCCTCCCCCGCACTGTAATTCTGAGTCTCGAGTACGATCAAAGATAAGGATTAGCCAGAACGTGACGCTTAGGGAGGGAATATTTACGCGACTCGCCCACTGTGCGCTCTATCCGGCTGTGCTGATCTCTCAGTATAATCCCTGCGTGTGTGTGTGTGGGTTTTCTCCCGAGTCCTCGCGTTTCTTCCCGCACGAGGCCAAACAGTTGAAGGAATTGGCCAACCATCTGAATTTGGCCCTCTTGAAAACAAGTCTCAAGCCTTTGTGATGAGGCTTTCATCATCAGTAAATAAATGGAATTATGTTTAGTTATTATTCTCAGTGGCTATGATCAATCAAAACACCTGGAATGCACTCCATGGCGGTTGTTGTTGTTGTTACAGGCTGCCGTGGGGTTTTCTTGTGACCAATAGAGGGAGGGACAGCGCAACATACTTCCATTGCTGTTCTCTGTTCGATGTTTAGCTTCACCATTCTTCGCTTAATGCGGCCCTTTTCAGGAACGTGTCCGTGAAGCGTCAAACGCGTAGCCACGGTCACGAAAAACGAATCCACGTGGGGATCGAGCCACTCACTTGCTCAGCACACTGCTGTTGCCATTCAAAATTTCCAGCGGCAGGGGCGAATGCGGGTAAAGGATGGGCAGCCCCGTGACGCGTTGCACAATCAGCTGTGGCTGAAACAAGTAGTGGCACTCGGCCGTGAGGCCCTGTGGGGTTCCACGCACACAAACAACACGCAGTATAAATACACACAGCAACAATAGTAACAACAACCCCAGCACAGAGTCTTACAAAAGCCCCCCCCCATGCACAAATGCACACGAACTTCAGTGTTAAACAAGCGTGTAAAACTCCAAGTCCATTACAAGCCTGGACGTGTGCATTGTTTATCCCGTCTCGCCAAGAAATGCCTATCGACCGTCTCAGAAACTTGTGCTCGAATGCCAATAATTGATTTTCAGGCTGTTTAGTTCGGGTCCCAGCTCTCCGATTCACATAGTAAAAACAGATATCACTCCTGCCTCAAATACCCTTTTCTTAACACACAGAAATCCCCCATATAACCTTGACAGAATGTTGGAACAAGTGCTGTTAGCGAGCACTTATGAAGGCCGGCATGACACAAGAGGGGGTGGGTGGCCAGCACCACGCCCGGCCGCCTTTGTCTCCCAAGTGGCGATGTTTACACACCGGACCAGGTACTCATTTTGAGACGGAGTTGACCGAGAGGAGGCCCAGGACCGGTTCAGATAATCGTCACTGGTGTTGGCCGCAGGCGGGAATTGCACTTGGGAAGCCGGGTTCGTAGCACAGCGTGCTAACCTCTACACTACACACACATACACCTATCTCTCTTCTCTTTTCAAATGCGATTTCAAACGAAAACCTACCCTGCCAAAACAATACGCCTCTTGAATTCCTCCTCAGAGCCCACTGCATCAAAGTCCTCCACGCCACCTCAACCTTTTCTCAGGTCCCCCCCCCTCCGCACGTACCTTGACCGAAATCTTGCCGTCGTCGCGCGGCAGATGGGCAGCCAGGAACCACGGGCCGGGCAGCGGGGCGGTGATGTTGAGGCTGCCCGTGGTCTTGTTGGGCGACACCCAAGGCAACGTGAGGCTCAGCAGGCCGGGGACGAGCGTGTTGTCGGGAAAGCTGGTGTTGAGGGGGTTTACAACCGGAGGTGCCCCCGCCCGCAGGTACCTGCACGCAGCGCCACGCGCAAAAAAATTACACGCTGCGGTGTATTCGAAGCACCTCGGTATCATGCAGAGAGGCGGCCCAAGAAATGACTCAATCGGTATAAACGTATGGGAATCATCGCCCACCTAGTGACTTAATCCCCGCTGGCTGGGCAGGCGCCAAGTCAACTTGTCCCACACAGGGGCGGACAGCTGCCACTGGGGGTTGCCGCCCTTTCAAAAGTGTTGAGTGGGAGCTGCGACGTAAGTCGCTTATCGTGCCCAATATGCCGTGGCGTCTTTGAGCGAGCGCTTAAAAAAAAAAGTATCATTAATATTAACATGTCACATGCCACCTCAACTATTCCATTGCCCTGTGGGGGTCGAGCCTAAGGCAACTCCAGTGGCAACCATACCTCAAGAGGCACAAGGTCTGCGCATCACAGGATTGCAAAATGAGTACAGTATATGTCAAAAAGGGGGCTTATGTTGCCAGGCGAGTTTTACCACCTGAATAATTTGGCAAGTTTGGGGCCATGACTCTGGCACACATCACCTACACTATAAAAACATTACTTAGCAACGATATTTAACATCCACTATAAAGCAGATACCACATGTTTTGTTAATAATACACCAGAAGTATTATTTATTTTCCCAGGTAAGGCCCACTGAGCTATGCAACTCTTTTTCACAAGAGACCTGGCCACAAATAACAGACCTGGTCTTCACCTGAGGACGGCTGCTTGCGTTGTGGCCGAAACGTTGTGAGAATTATTTTATTACGTTTTATTTTTATTATTTTATTATTTCCCTTCTACGTGACTTTACCGAAAGAACCAATAAAATGAATCCCTGCAGTCACGAAAGCTTTAAATCGAAAAATGGTAGCTTAACGAAGTGGCTTATCACGAGGAAATGTATAGCAGCTAAATCCACGCTAAATGCACATTGATTCGAGATGTAGAGGGAAAAACCGGAGGACACGGAAAAAAATGCACACAACCACGAGGAAAACATGCAAACTTCAAATATACAGCAGGTGTCAGGGTCGAAACAGAACCCATGACCTCCTGCATACCAGGCGGGATAGTTAATATTTCACCATGTCGCGCCCGCAGAGCTCAAACAAAGGGGGGCAGGGGGCATGGAAGTGAGAGGTGGAGTGCGATAGATTTTGCCAAGCTGTCTTCTGCTACCCCACAACGTGACCCTGCAGCCTGTAACACCTGTTATGCACAGAGGGCGCCCATCAAAGCGCAACCCAGGCTCAACCCTGCTTTGGCTTCCGAGAGTGGTAACGATCGGGCGCGTTCCAGTTATTTAGCAAAAGCCAGCGAACACACGGGGGTAAGAAAATCGAGGCACGCAATGATGCATCGATTAAAATGCATTCACATTGATTCCTATCCCTAAGATGAGGGGTTTAAAGATGCAACGAGTGATTCATCACTTGAAATAAATTCTTGTTCTCGTAATTGCGAACATCAACTCGTTGTGCGGGCGAAAATCAATACGAATAGTCAACATGACTCACAGTGCTGATTCAACTATTGATTTCGTTTTACATAACGGTGAATGTCCTGGCCGGCCGTAAGCAGCAGGGATTACATGAATACATTTACGTACAATTGATACAAATGGATTCTTACTTATTCTTAGGTTTTTTTTTTTCGGTAAAGTCACGTAGGTAAAAAAAATAAAAATTAATAAAAGTAAAATAAAATAAAAATCACGACGTTTCGGAGGCAACACAAGCTTCCGTCTTCAGGTGGAACCGTCACAGCCACGACAGCTGTATCAAGTAAATGAGAGATTACAAGAGCTACCACTCCGTATATATAATGGTTGAAGAGGGGACGGGCCAAGTGCGGCACACTTTTTATTAATATGGTAAGGTGAGGCTTAAGACTAAGAATAGACTGCATAACAAAAGACTGAGCCTTTGTTATGGAGAGGTACGGTTTGTGACTACGATTCTTACTTCCTGCGATTTGACGTGTGAACTGATGCAACGTTTTAACACCTCCATGAAAACAAACACACAGTAACATTTACTACATTCTTGACTCCAACCACAAACCCATATATCAATGAATTCGAATCGCTCTGAGGAATGTGAAGGGTTATTTACAATACCAGCACTGCCGGTTTAAGGACACCAAGTTCCATCACAGCGAGAAGTGGTCCAAGCGACTCAAGAGGTCAGAGAGACGAGCAACCGCCGGGAACCTGTGTTCGAATAAGGGCAGCCGCTTGCGATTAAGCCGAGTTCTCAAGGCTTCGCGAGGGAATGGGTGTCAGCCCGACCACCAATGGCTGCACACACGACAACAAATGCAACCCAATTGCATTTTTAAGTGTGCCGAGTACTGACACACTTATATAACTACAACGCACACAACGGCATTGACAGAAGCGCATGATCTCGTTGATGGGATGGGGGGGGGAGGTCTGTATTTCTGCCGGTGCTGTTTTTACACAATCGTCATAACCGCTGGCGAAGACGACAAAAAATTTAGTTTTTCAAGTGCGGAGGTCACGTACACGAATATGTCATGGTCGGGGCAGTCCTGTCCCAGCCCTGCGCCTCTCTCTTTAAACGCCACCAGGTTCCAAAGCGCCAGCGTCGTGTCCTCGGGCAGCGAGAAGTGGAAGAGCTTCACGTTGGTGTAGAAGTGGTAAAAGGAGAGTTTCTCGGGACCTTGGGTGAAATATTCAGTGACGACTCGCAATCCTGAGCGTGGGAGGGTGTCAGGGGGACAGAGAGTTGGGGAGAGGTGAGTAACGAAAACATTGTCCGTACACGGTCGCCATCGTCAATCCACTGCTGGATGAAGGACTCCCCACACCGTGCAGACGGTGGGTGGTTGTTTGATTGTACTTCAGTGTGGGTTGATAACGGCCACGAGACAACACAAACAACACCCAGTCGCGTACACAACACCCAGCACACACACAGGACAACACCCGGCACCACCACGACACCCAGCACCCACACAACAATCAGCACCACCACAACAATCAGCACCACCAACAACAATCAGCACCACCACAACAATCAGCACCACCACAACAATCAGCACCACCACAACACCCAGCACCACCACAACACCCAGCACCACCACAACAATCAGCACCACCAACAACAATCAGCACCACCACAACAATCAGCACCACCACAACACCCAGCACCACCACAACAATCAGCACCACCACAACACCCAGCACCACCACGACACCCAGCACCACCACAACACCCAGCACCACCACAACACCCAGCACCACCACAACAATCAGCACCACCACGACTACCAGCACCACCACAACACCCAGCACACACACAACACCCAGCACCACCACAACAATCAGCACCACCACGACACCCAGCACCACCACAACACCCAGCACCACCACAACAATCAGCACCACCACGACTACCAGCACCACCACAACACACAGCACCACCACAACACCCAGCACCACCACAACACACAGCACCACCACAACAATCAGCACCACCACAACACCCAGCACACACACAGGACAACACCCGGCACCACACAACACCCAGCACACACACAACAATCAGCACCACCACAACAATCAGCACCACCACAACACCCAGCACACACACAACAATCAGCACCACCACAACAATCAGCACCACCACAACAATCAGCACCACCACAACAATCAGCACCACCACAACACCCAGCACACACACAACAATCAGCACCACCACAACAATCAGCACCACCACAACAATCAGCACCACCACAACAATCAGCACCACACAACACAATCAGCACCACCACAACAATCAGCACCACCACGACACCCAGCACCACCACAACAATCAGCACCACCACAACAATCAGCACCACCACAACAATCACCACCACAACAACAATCAGCACCACCACAACAATCAGTACCACCACAACACCCAGCACACACACAACAATCAGCACCACCACAACAATCAGCACCACCACAACACCCAGCACACACACAACAATCAGCACCACCACAACAATCAGCACCACCACAACAATCAGCACCACCACAACAATCAGCACCACCACAACACCCAGCACACACACAACAATCAGCACCACCACAACAATCAGCACCACCACAACAATCAGCACCACCACAACAATCAGCACCACACAACACAATCAGCACCACCACAACAATCAGCACCACCACGACACCCAGCACCACCACAACAATCAGCACCACCACAACAATCAGCACCACCACAACAATCACCACCACAACAACAATCAGCACCACCACAACAATCAGCACCACCACAACACCCAGCACACACACAACAATCAGCACCACCACAACAATCAGCACCACCACAACAATCACCACCACAACAACAATCAGCACCACCACAACAATCAGCACCACCACAACACCCAGCACCACACAACAAAATGACACGATGACAACACCCAGGCCCATATGTAACGCTAAGTAGACAAGGCAACACCAGTCACCACACAACGCACAGACAACACCACCACCACCACAACACCCAACGACCCCAACAACCTTTCTCTCCCCTCTGCCCCCCTCCAATCCACCCTTCGACCCCCTTCCATTCCCCGTCACCCCCTCTGCCCGCGTCCCCGACCCCGACCGCCCTCATCTCCCCCCCCGACTCCACTGCCCTCACCTGAGCCGGCACGCAGGCACAGCGAGAGGCTCAGGACGAGGCCCAGGAGGAGCCCCGAGCCCATGGCCCCTTGGAGCGGTGACGGCGGTGGTCGAGAGCTCACGGGGTCACTGGGCTACCCGGGCACTCCTCACTGATCGACGCACCACCACCTCCACCACCTCATCGTCGGCGTCGTCCTCATCATCATCGTCGTCCTCGGCGTCGTCCTCTTCGTGCCGCCTGCCGCTTCGCGTTCCTCATCGCCCGGAAGCCGCACCTGCGCGTGACGTCACCGCGGCCAGCGCCGTCACGTGACCGTCGCGCGGTTGCCAGTAGCAGCGCGGTGACGTCACGATCCCCTTCCCCCCACCTCTCACCCCCCCCCCACCCCTTACACCCCCCCCCCACCCCTTACACCCCCCACCCCTTACACCCCCCCCACCCCTTACAACCCCCCCCCCACCCCTTACACCCCCCCCCCACCCCTTACACCCCCCCCCCACCCCTTACAACCCCCCCCCACCCCTTACACCCCCCCCCCACCCCTTACACCCCCCCCACCCCTTACACCCCCCCCCCACCCCTTACAACCCCCCCCCACCCCTTACACCCCCCCCCACCCCTTACACCCCCCCCCACCCCTTACACCCCCCCCCACCCCTTACACCCCCCCCCCCACCCCTTACACCCCCTACACCCCTTACACCCCCTACACCCCTTACACCCCCCCCACCCCTTACACCCCCCCCCCACCCCTTACACCCCCCCCCACCCCTGACCCCCCCCCACCCCTTACCCCCCCCCCACCCCTGACCCCCCCCCACCCCTTACCCCCCCACCTCTGACCCCCCCCCCACCCCTTACCCCCCCCCCACCCCTGACCCCCCCCCCACCCCTGACCCCCCCCCCCACCCCTGACCCCCCCCCACCCCTTACCCCCCCACCCCTGACCCCCCCACCCCTTACCCCCCCCCCCACCCCTTACCCCCCCCCACCCCTTACCCCCTCCCCACCCCTTACCCCCCCACCCCTCCCCCCTACCTTGACTCCCCCCCCCTCTTACCCTATAGTCGCGTTTCTCTCTTAGCCCTCTTCACTTATCACAGTGAATTTGGCTGTGACGGTTCCACCTGAAGACGGAAGCTTGTGTTGCCTCCGAACCGTAGTGATTTAATTTAGTTGTTTTTTCATTTATTTATTTTTTACCTACGTGACTTTACCAAAAAAACCAGAGTATAATGATATATCGTGAAATGTATAAGCCGTCATTCGCCACGAAATGGCGGTGACGTCATCACAGCGCTTGTGCCAGGCTACGTGCACATTGAGGCCACGTGAAGTGTCGAAGGCTCGCTGCCAGGTCATGGGATAGACCCAGGTGCCATGGGTTTGACCGCCCGAGATGACTGGCAGATGCACCAGCTATGCCCCCTACTGTGCCATGTAAATAAACTTAACTCACACAGACGGGGACATGACTCACCAAGATCCGCTCAGTTGGATAAGTGAACACGTGGAAGTCCATGGGCGAATCACGTAAATATTCCAAAGTCACATTTTGGCTCATCTGGCTCTCAATGCATGCAAAGCGGCTCGGGATGGTGCCGGGTGGGACGAATGGAAACGCCGCGGTGGCTAGGAGATGTTAACTACCTCGCCAGGTATACAGGAGGTCGTGGGTTCGATCCTGACGCCTGCTGTATATTTCGATTTAAAGCTTTCGTGACTGCAGGGATTAATCTTCTTGGCTCTTTCGGTAAAGTCACGTGACTTTACCGAAAGAACCAAGAAGATGAATGCCTGCTGTATATTTGGAGTTTGCGTGTCTCTCATCATCATCATCACGGTGGCTTGGAGATGTTGACTACCTCGCCAGGTATACAGGAGGTCGTGGGTTCGATCCTGACGCCTGCTGTATATTTCGATTTAAAGCTTTCGTGACTGCAGGGATTCATCTTCTTGGCTCTTTCGGTAAAGTCACGTGACTTTACCGAAAGAACCAAGAAGATGAATGCCTGCTGTATATTTGGAGTTTGCGTGTCTCTCATGGTGGCGAGGAGATGTTAACTACCTCGCCAGGTATACAGGTCATGGGGTCGATCCTGACGCCAGCTGTATATTTGGAGTTTGCGTATCTCTCATCATCATCAGTGGCTTGGAGATGTTAACTACCTCGCCAGGTATACAGGAGGTCGTGGGTTCGATCCTGACGCCTGCTGTATACTTCGATTTAAAGCTTTCGTGACTGCAGGGATTCATCTTCTTGGCTCTTTCGGTAAAGTCACGTGACTTTACCGAAAGAACCAAGAAGATGAATGCCTGCTGTATATTTGGAGTTTGCGTGTCTCTCATGGTGGCTAGGAGATGTTAACTACCTCGCCAGGTATACAGGAGGTCATGGGGTCGATCCTGACGCCTGCTGTATATTTGGAGATTGCATGTCTATCCATCTTCCCTTGGTCGCGTGAGTTTTTTCTCTGGGTCATCCGGTTTTCCCCTCCACATTAATAAACATGCGTTTCAGAATTTGACTGCTATAAATGTCCACCGTGTTTGATGCCCAGGTCGCTCAGTGTGCCTTGCCAGTTAGAAAAAAACAATTTGTAACTGGGGAGCATTGTCGCTGTGGCCAATCATCAAGAGCGATGGCTATTGGATGTTCCTGAACGGTGTGAGCCCAAGATAATGCGTTATCTGCGACACGCCGTAGTACACAACAATGGCCAGCAGGGGGCGTGTTGAACAAATGTCACGCGGTTCTCAAAACTCGCGGCTCGTACGCTCACGCCGCCGTGCATAGGGGCCATCCATTTATGACGTACGCATGGAGGGAGGGGGGATTAACCCAAATGCGTAGGCTTGCGTATGGGGGGGGGGGGGGTCTACTGACAATGTACGGATAGGAGACGGGGGGGGGGGTGAAGCCTCGATAATAATTTGTCGAAATTGGCCTTTAAATGAGCCACTTTTCAGTTTCTTAAGCTGTCAGACCAAGTACTAGCGGGAGAAGCGAGACTGTGGGAGAGATGTCACGTGTGTGTCACCGTGCCCCTGACTGCAGCTATCACGCTGCTGTGCTTCAGCCTGCACGTGTTGACGAAATCCCTACAATGCGTCACCTGTTCGACTGGGTTCAGTCGGCGTTTGAACCTAGCGGACACCAGACAAACGTTTTAAAGGTAAGCAACTTACTTCTTTAATGTAGCCGGCGGTGGACTGTTTGCTTAAACACGTTAATATTATACTGGTAGGAACCTCCTGGTTACACCAGCCCATAGGGGATTATTGTGTCCGTCGTGCAGGGAGGGGCTGGGTGGGGAGAGTGGGAGGGGTGGGGCTGGGTGGGGAGGGGCAGGTCACCCCGTGGTGCCCTTATAAAACTCAACGTTTAACCTACTCACGCCGGCTTGTGCCCGCCCTCACAGTCGGGCATATTTGCGGAATACACCACGCCGCCGTTGACCCTGGCCATTGACCGAGCAACCCAACGTTCCTACCAGCTCCCTCCGCAGGAATGTGTTTAACCCTTGATCGTTTTTGCGTGGATTAAATATCGGCCGTTCTATAGGATTCGGGGGGGGGGGGTGCATCAGGCGAACGTACGCAGGTGAAAGGTGTAAAAAGTCCGCGTGCGTACAGGGAGGGGGTCAAGTCGACAGATTTCTGCCTACGCACTAAATGGATGGCCCCATAAGGCAGCAAAAATTGGGTACGTTCGCCTAACGGTTCCCAACCATGTTGCTGCATGTTTATCGGGAATATTTTTTTGATTCTTAATGTACGCAATCGAGTAGTCGTCCACCCCTGTAGTTCGACCATCAACTGCAATGTTTTTGTCTATACCCCCTCCCTGCAAAGGTTTGCTCTCGCCTCAAGAGGATCGCGATGTCCCCCCGCGTGAGAAAACCGATCCGCGGAACGTGCCATCATAGAGCTACTTCCGAGATTCCTACAACCGATGTCTTATCGACACTCGGGGTCGGGCGAGCACTTTTCCCACCTTGACCTGCCGCACAATAATAATATTTAGTTCCGTGGCGAACTGACATTGCAAAATCTCGGGAACCCGAATTTGACCAAACCACGTGCAGAACAAACGGCTTTGTAAGCCATTGGTGACCGCATGCATGTAAGTCATCTGCCTCAGATTACACTTGGACATGAGCGCAGCTGTACAGCAAACATGGAACACCGCACCTCCCTCCCCTGGCCTCTGCTGCGACACAACTTGAGTAAAGATTTGCATGAAATCCCACCACCGCAGCCGAAACGCGTCTTGCATCATCACGTCTCAATCATTTCGATGGCCAACGGGAGTTGTTTTATTATGGGCCGAGGGCACCCCCCACCGATGACAGCTGGCCCCCCATGAGAAAAAAAAATATTAAGTCGGGGTAAAACCAGGCAAAGGTGTAAGATTTGCGAGAGGCAGCCCCCCAAATTGGGGGGCCCGGGACAGACAACACGGCTACCGACAACAAAAGATGTTTATTTAATTGTTGGTAGTTCATGGCTCCGCGAGAAAGCAAGAAATAACAGCATATTACACAGCATGGAAATAAAACTGAAGAACGCACAGGCGCAAACATGCCTAAGGGTTGTGTACATTGAAATATACATGACACTGTCGGTAACAGAGAACGTGTACACGGGATGAACGACGCAGCAGCCCCCTCGCCGCGCCTCCCCGTGGAGCCGGGGGTCTTTTTTCTCCTGCCAAAATTGGGTCCCCCCCCTACCCCAGAGAGCCATCGCCATGGAAATGAGGTCCAACGGGAACCAGTTGACGCGTATCGATGTTGCCACGGAAGCCGTTCACGCTCGTCGCTGTTCTCGTGCGGGCGGGCCGAATAGAACCGGTTCACGCGGAGTCTTGTTCTGATGTAAAACAATAAAGGTCCACCAACGCGACCGTGCCCATGAACACTGTTGACTTGTGCCCACAGACACAGGTCCAGAGTGGAACCAGTTTACAGAGTCTGTTCCCATGGAAACGCGTTCACATGGAAACAAGTCCATTGGAAGCAGTTGGCATGGAGACCGTTCTCGTGGCAACAGGTCCAATTGAAGCAGTTCAAGTGGAGCTTGTTTCTATGGAAACATGTTGATCCAATGGAATCAATGGACGTTGAGCCTACGGCCATGGAAACAGATACAATGAAAGCAATTTGCCAATACCCCTTGTTTACTGGCACAATCGCGCCGTGCCCTTGCGGGGTTCTTCACTGCACGCGTGGTTTTACACTGGCTATTAGTCCAGCTGAGCAGGAAACAAACTATTATATTTTACCAGGTAAGGCCCACTGAGCTATACAAGCTCTTTTTTCAGAAGCGACCTGGCCACAGATGATAGCCCAATCAAGTGGCTTGTGGAAATTTACAGCAGCCCAATACCCTAAACGCGTGACGCCGGTTTTAAACGCATAGGGAGGACCCGGAGAAAAACCCACGCGACCACGGGGAGAGCATGCAAACTCCAAATACACAGCAGGCATCAGGGCTGGGATGGAACCCAAGACCTCCTGTATACCAGGCGAGGTAGTTAACATCTCGCCACCGCGGCGATCCCGGTGGGGGGGGGGGGGGGGGGGGGGGCGCAAGCAGGGCCAGAGTTAATTATTTTCGCCAAAAGCACTGGCTACGTGCGATTCGACTCGCTGTGCGGTGTCAGCGGCAGAGCTCGGCTTCTGCAGTGGGAAAAAAAAGAATCGGGGTAGTGGGGCATGGCCCCAGCGCGGCTCGGTTGTACGGTGGAAAAAGGAGGTATAGAAGCCCATCGCCATGGCAACAGGTCCACGTAGAACCGGGTCCACGGGATTCTGGGCCTGTGTGGACCGAGGCTGCAACGGGACCATGGGGACCAGGTCCCTCTCTACTCCCCGGGGCCACCTCCTCCACCACTAATCCCACCCCCCACTCCCCATCGCCATGGAGGCTTCGCGCACTTGCACCGGCGGCTGGCGACATTATACACCGTCCATCTACGTTACCTTCGGGTTTTGCGATTTTTTATTTTTTTTTTATATTAAAATGTACTTGCACCATCACTAACACATCAAATTGAATAATAATGATGATTAAAAAAAAATACTTGTAATTGAACCCTGTGCCGCCCCAGGACTGGCGTACGAGGTTTCCCCGCCCCACCCTGCCCCCCCTCCTCATGGTGGGCTGTGAGAGGAGGGGGGGGGGGACACACCTCTGACCGCCAAAGGGGGGACCTCTCTTCTAGGGGGGTCCATCATCCCGGTTGGCGGCTGGGTACCCTGTATAAACAACGCAGCTAAGCCAAAGAGAGGGGGGGACGCCAACAAATACGCAACTACAGGGAGGGGGAGGCTTAAATGACGAACTACGGTACAGAACAAAACTAATTCGACATGCAGTACGCTTAAAAATATCTCACTAAACAGGGCAATTCATGGGGAGGAATATTACGTTTGTTATCTCAATTGGTTAGGTAATTATTTAACGTTAACACTTATTTCGTGGACATCATTGCACCCTTGCGGTATGGCTTCTGGTTGCCACGGAGGCAACTTGCCATCGGTACGCCGAGTGGTTACTGTGGAGATGAGAGCACTGGCATCGCCACGGATACAGATTTTTCATCAATTCTTTTTTTTTAGAAAAGTGTGTGCGAGGGGGGGGGCAGGGCAGGGTAACGTGTCGGGGAGGAGGGGGGGGGAGGCACCGTGTGAGTTGCCAAATTTGATGTCGTTCAGCTTTTAAGTTTGCGACCAAACAGGAGAAATCTGCCGTCGATGGAGCCGTACACTTCCCTCCACCTTGATTTGCGTTCGCGGAGCGAATACCGGTGGGGCCATCAAAACCGCCGTGGATTATTATAATTATCATCGAGTATAGAGGGCAAACCCCGTCCCTACAAGGGGAGGGCGGCGTACGGCGAGCGATTCAATTAAAACATCCCCCCCCCACCACCACAGGACATGCACTCCGTGGAAATACACCGACTCCCAACTACAGACGGAACAACGCTTCTCCCGTGAGCAACACAACACATCCCCCCCCCCCAGCCCGTGTCCCCCACCACCAACCCCTCCCTCCCCCTCCCGCCCCCCCCACCACGTCGCCGCCAACAACCATGAGACGAACCGGGCCTCCTTTTTTCTTGATCGGCCGGGCGTCCAGGACGACGCGTGGGCGGACCCGCAGCCCCCACCCGACACGCTGCTCTCCGGAAAGTGGCATTTAAATCGAGGACCATCATCGTTATTGAAACCACATTTAAACAAAGAGTTCTCTTGGTATGTACAACAATTTCGCCTGGCCGCGCACGTCTGTGTACACTTAAGCCAGCTTGCGGGGAGGTGTGTACGTCGTGCGTGTGTAGTACTGCGTACGTGAAGCCGGTGTGTGTGTGCGTGTGTGTCGGGAGGTGCGCGCGCGTGTCCGGCGAGGGAACAAGCGTGGCTGTGCGGGACGTCACAGCGTGGTGTGTGTGCGTAAAAGCCCGTGTGTGCGTGCGTGTAGGGTGTTGTTACTGGACTATGATAGGATCCCCCTCACCCCCACCCCCCACCCACCCCCCGACAGCGCGCATGCTGGTTACAGGGGGGTCCTGGAGGCTCTGGGGAGACCCCGGCTGGCTGCTGTTGCACAGGGGGTGCACTCACACCCCCATCGGCATGCCCGGAGAGAACTGGAATTACACACGGACGCACGTGTCACACGGCAAAAAGGGGTAGAACACCGTCGCGCGCGGTTAAAATCCGACGCAGACACCATCACCACCACCACCACCACCACCACCGCAAGCGCGGTGCTCACCGTTTAAAACGCACGTCGCCGATTTTACACAACCCGAACACAGCGCACATTCTTAAATATTAAACACCAAATTGTAATTACTACTACTACCACCACCGTAAGTCAACACACCCAAATGTCACCAGATGTTAAGGTACTATAAGCAAACCACACATCCGTGCGTACAGAGAAGTGGGCCAAATCCGAATTCCAAATACAACTGGTGCTGATGCTGCTCAATACAGGCCTGGCACATGCCACACAATCGCATCCCCTCCCTCGCTCCCTCGCTGCCCACACCGACACCCCCCCCCCCCCACAATCCACGGAGGGGAGAGCCAGGCGGGGGGCGGGCAGCGGGGGTGGGTGGCCGCCGCGACCGGGGTGGGGGAAGAAGCGCGTTCCTGTCGCCGGTCGGCCGGGCGACGCTGCGGCGGAGGCGGCATTTATTACAGAGCACAGACAGACGCGGCAGATAAAGAGAGTGGGAGAACCAGCGCTGGGGATGCAGCACTTACTCGGGGTGTGCGGCGGCGCTTCAGAGGTTCTGGACAAACCAAAGGGAGAGACTCGTGGTCAGTGACGGTGTCTCGGCGCCGGGGGTCAGGCATGCACGCCGGCCGGTGAGCGAGCCGGAGGGTGGCTAGCAGGGGGAGGGGGGGGCGATCGCAGCAGCAACTCGCAGAAGCGGGCTTTTTGGAGGGAGGGGGGGCGTTGGACGAGCCGGTTAGTCGTCAGTCCTCCCACATCTCGCCCTCTGGGAAATTGTCCCGCGGGCGGTGGTCGCTCTCTTTCCACTGCCTTAGGGGTCGGGGTCGGGCGGGGGGGGGGGTTGCGTAAGTTGTTGCTCTACGCGGCCCCTCTCTCTCTCTCTCTGTGTGTTTTCGGGTTGCGCTGCGCGCCGTGGCGCCGCGTGGGAGCGAATGGCTGCGCCGGACAGCGCGCGGTAACAACCCCGAAGGCACCACGGAGAGAAATTCTGACCGGTTGCTTATTGGAACGGGGCGTTTACGGCTATTTTGACTCAAATCAATCTCCCGCTTTATCACTGCAAAACCGAACCGTGCCGGGGCCACGCCGAGGCCGGGTTGGTTTTTCCGCTGAAGGAACCGAGCCGCGACGTCGGCACACGGCCGGCGTCGCGGCTCGGTTTGAGACGAGACGCACGGAGACAATGGCGGCGATGCCGCGATCGATCGAGAGCTGCGCGGCCATAACACGCAACGGACGCATCACGAGCCCCACGTCCGTGGCTCTACTTAGATTCGGATGTCTCGCGAGGCCGGCGTAGCGCAGTTTGCTTCCTGCAGCCAGTGGAAGACCAGCGGTACCACGAGAGCTCCTGTGCTGGCTCGGCTCGGATGTGCCAGTGGAAAAAAGGGGTATGTACGTATCGAGCGGAAGGATGCTGCTCTGGCCTACATGTGGGAGGGCTGGGAGAGGAGGCAGTGACAGCGGCGGCAGCCATAGCAGCGGTGACGCAGTGGGAGCGCGTGCAGCGTCTAAAACGCAAGCGGTCCCACGGAAAACTGCCGGGCCTCAAAACCCGCACAGCGCGGACACAGCACGCCGCGGTGGCGGCAGCGGCGGCCCCAACCGTCTCTCCCTCCCAGTAGAGCCGGGGCAGAATGTCGCAACACCCGCGGGCCGAAAGCCGCCAAAGAACCACATTGGAACAGACGCCGCCGCCGCCACCACCGCAAACGGCAGATGTTGGGTGGGCGGCACAGTATGAGGACGAGGAAGAGGAGGACCAGGAGGAGGAGGACAGCGAGCAAGGCACCCAGAGAAAGCACATGTGTGAACGTACGGACGCATGTCAGGGTTAGTATTGAGCAGCCCAGTCACCAGCCCACCATGGGGACGAACACGCAGAGTGGCTGTGCACGCGACATGGCCGGCGCGCCCCTCGTGGGGGGCGGCACGTCGTCTGACATGAGGGTGGGATGCCGCAAGCAAAGCTGCAAAGGTGCGTGTGCGCGTAAGGTGCTACACGGTAGAAAAACAAAAAAATTTACAACACATGCAGCCTCCGCGAGGCCGATGCGAAACCCACTCTCGGCTACGTTTATGCCTGACGCGACCGCCAACCGCGTGGGCACATGGCATGGGTTCTCTTTGTATGGAGCGACATGCACACATCTCTGCACTCTCGTCCTTCTCCTTCGTGGCTTGCGAGCACTACGCTCGCATATCCCCACTGCAGTGGGCCCAGGGATGCACCCGGCTCACGGGCAGTGCAAGCGCGGCTCGCGATAGGGATGATGACCGTTTGTAAATTTGACTAGGATTTTATTTTCCAAAACTTTGTCTTGAATGTGGGAGAAAAAATAATCTTGCGGAAGCTGGTGCCAACCCCGAGGAACTCACCAACGGAGTATTCCTAGGGCGCCGCCGCAGATATCGAAATTCGAAAGCAACCAACGTGAGCGGACCGGCCGCCTAACCACCCTGGCGTGACCACCTCAGGTGACCAACCCGTGTTGACAACTCCGGCATGACAACGCTGGCATGACTATCCCTGCGTTACTCCCCTGGCGTTACCACCCCGGCTGGCGTGGCAACCCCGGCGTGGCCACCTTGGTGTGACCACCCCGGCGTGACCATCTCACGTAACCATCTCACGTAACCACCCCTACGTGATCACCCCGACGTTGAGCACCCCGGCATGACAACCTTGGTACGTGACCACATCACGTGACCGAACCGCGTGACGACAGAGCGTGACAGGCCCGAGGGACAACCACGGCGTGAAAGGCCATGCGTGTCTCGTGGTTCGAGGCCCCGCTCACTCTTTGTTGCGCAGCTCGTAGGATAAAAAAATTTGGCCACCCCTGCAAGACCCTTTAACATTTCACGCTCCCCACCACACACGTTTAATGTGGACGGCGCGGCACTTAACCTCTACAATCCCTTTAGTACCCCTGTCCCATTTACAGTCCCTCAAAGGTGCACCAACACTGCATTGGTCACGAAAGCCTACGTGTTGAACCGACTGCATGTTCTGGCGTGTACATATAGTAAGCAATGAAGTCTTGCACCGATTCAAAGAGTCAAATCGAGACTTCTGACGCTGGTGGCAGCGCATTCGCCACCCATTGAATCGTCACTGTTTGTAACCCATCGCATTCTGCTCCCATGCGTCGCGTGTGCAAAGTTACCATGCCGCGCTACGAACCCGGTGAAATAACTTTGATTCCTGGCCAGCCAAAGCGAAACCCACGTCCGAATTGGTCCTGGGCGCCCGAAAGTCACCTCCTTCCCCCCCCCCCCCCGCCCCCACCACCTTCACCAACCCGGCACGGTGTAGTATGGTCAAATGCAACTTGGTGGGCAGAGGCCTTCATCCGGTAGTAGCAATGGGTAGGTAGGTCTGCAACGATTTGCCTACCCTCTACGATTTGATAAGGTCCTACGAAGCCCGCGGCTGACGGATCGATTCAACGACGAAGTAATTTCCTAATTACAGCGGCCTCTAGTGGCAGCGAGAGTCACGTGACCCCATGACGCACGCGACGCGTACGAAACAACAACGCCGTCACAACAACAATCGTCGATTCGCACTCAGGATTTGACGCATCTGTGCTTCAGCAACAAAAGTGGATTATAATTCACGAATCAATGCATCGCTCTTCCCCGACAAGGAGAGGGGACCTTACCGTGCCCTTGGTAAGGGAGTGGTGGTGGTGGTGGTGGGGGGGGCGCGGGTCTTACAGTGCCCTTGGTAAGGAGGGGAGCGAGGGTTTATTGTACCCTTGGTAAGGAGGGGAGGGGGAGCTTACGCTGTCGCCTGGGAAGGGGTTGAGAAAGCCTCCTGGGATTTCGTCATCCTCGTGGGGGGTCCCCGGGGCGTTGCTCATTCCCCCGCTCATGTTGTTGGGAGAATTCTGCAAACGCGCACGCGCACGCACCCACGCAAACGCGCACACGCAAGACGGGGGGAGGGGGTGGGGGGTTAGTGCGTTAGCTTACACCTGCAAGTTTTCCCCAGCTTCGTCCCGGTCGCGTTATCGGCATCGCGTCCGCGAGACTTAAGGATCCGTTCCGAAACTCTCTCGCACGGCGGTGAATTCCCCCTCCGTGTTGTCGTCAGAGAATGGCCCCGCGGATGGGGATATCGCAAAGCTACCTCTGAGAGATGCCTTCTTCAAGTGACCTCTTAGCCACAGGAGGTGAGGACGGGGTTGGGAGGGGGCGGGGGGGTGCAGCACATTCCTACCCACCCTGCCGCAGACAGTGGTGTTCCGTCGCGTGACAGTCAAACCGATAAAAATTTGTATGTTCTCAAGAGCTAGAATAGAGCCAAATTCATTGTCTGTGTGTGTGTGTGCGTGCAGTCGTTGGTGACAGTGCCGAGACCACCGATTGAAACCTGCATTAGAAGCCAGGATTCTCAGCGGTGCCGGCTCAGTGCTCCGACTTGCCTTGCCAACTCTTCATGCAACATGCTCAAATCACAAGGAGCGCCCCCCCACCCCCCCACCCCCCCGAACTGCAAAGCGATTACCACCGAAACGACAATCATCACAATCGCACGCCACGTTCTTGTTTTTTTTTATCGTAAGTCGCTGAGCAGGCGGAGAGAAAACCGCCAAGCAGAGAGGGGGCCGGCATCAAGCAACACTCGTGAAAGCGTTAACAGCTAAGGGTTGAACGCGTTTTATTTCGGTAAATAAGAGGAATTCGGGAAAAGGGCCGACAGGAGGGAATTCCAAAGTGGAGCAAAAGTGTCCACGTGGCCGGACTCCTCATGTGTGCCCCCACGACTCTACGCAGAGGCACCCCGGGGGGCAGCTTACCTTGGCAATTCCATCCATATCTGCCGACCCTGCAATATAAACGTCGCAAGATAAAAGGCACCGATATATCTCACGGGGGCGGACAACATTCTACGTGAGTGCCAAACGTGCGCGCGTGCTTGTGTGTGTGTTAGCGTGCGTGTTGCGGCGCGCTCCGCAGGTTTGTCGCGGCTGATCCGCTGTTTGCCGGTGTGTTTTCGGGTCGTGCCGCCGTGCCGTTTGGCGGGACGTCCCGAAAAAAGATTTCGGCTCCCGAGGAAGTCCCCCCTCCCACCCCATCCCCCCCCCCTCACCCAACCCCACCCGGCACGTGGAGCGAAAACATCGGACGTCGCGCCGAACAACAACATGCGGCACGACCCGAAGACGCGTCGGAGGGCTAGAGGCACGCGCGTGCGTGTGCGTGTGTGTGCGTTTGTTTGTATACGCAAGAGCAGTCACAGGCACCTAAAGATCCATTCATATGGGATTCCATGCCCATTCCGCCATCTCCAGGTCCCATTGGGAACTGTAACACAACAGGCCATGCCATTCAAACCTTCAGGCGGAAGCAATAACAATACAATCACACAAGACAAAGGTGGATTTTCGAAGCGTCCACACGTGCGACCGCGACTCAACGTGCTGGGAACAGAAACGCTGGGGGCATGTCGAATTTTTCAAGGATAGAGAGCGAGGCAGTCGGTCACGGGCAGAGGAAAAACGACTTAAGCCAGGACTTGAACATGGGTGGGGGAATCGACAGCACGAATGGCTGGGGGAAGGGAGTTCAGGCCGTGTGGGCAGCAAGGAGAATGGGCGACCTCCCACTCAGCGAAGGTCGATTTTCGGGCTTCGACAGGAGACCTTGGGTGCCAGATATGAATTGTGCAGGTGGAGTAGAGTGAGATGAAGAGTTAGGAGAGTGCATCGTGGCGAGTAGAGCTCTAGTTGCTTGTTGTATTTAGTTTGTTGCCTTTCCCCCGCACCTCCGATTAGCACGGTTGGCTACGTACGGTGCAAAATAAATTTTACATAAATACATATACATGAGAGGGGGAGAGGTGGGAAAGGTAGGAGAGTGTGTAGAGGCGAATGGAGTGAGATGAGAGGGAAAACGTGAGCGGGGGGTGAGCGGTGAATTCTATTTTCACACATCGTGAAAAACAAAAGTCAAAAGAGGTCATCGCTGCCAGCGCCGTTGATGCCACCACCAGGCGGAATCACTTCCTTCCGTTTGCTAGATCCCTTAACTGTTGCAGAGTCAGCACCCGACCCATCTAAAGGTGTCCACTTGCAGGATTCCACTATCCCGTTTGTGGTCCTTCCCTTTGTTAACGGTTGACCAATCCTTCAAGGATCACTCTGACAATGTTAACTCCACCTGGCATCTACCACCCTCTGGGTGTCACTCCAATGTAACCACGTGCCCTCCTCCGCCCGCGCAGTGTCCCACCCAATCACAACCTCCTCCTCTTCTCAATTACATCGACAGAGCTATCCTGCCACAGCTCCGTTCAAAAATTGCAAGTTGCTTAACCCCATCCACCTCCACCCTGTGCACGTGTCCCACCCATGAAAACCTCACTTCCACAGACATACCTGCAAAACTTTAATGCCACATTCTGTTACAAACTTCCAATTCTTTATCTTCTAGTGCCATGAAAATCCTAGCATCTACCGCTTGGACCTAAATACAGAAGGCCACGTGTTTATTTTCAGTTGCTTTGTTCCAGCTTCTCTGACCTGTGCAGTAACAATCGAAACTCAAAACACCAACCTCAACAACAACCTAACCTCTCAACTCTCCCAAATTGTGTATTGTAGTCCTTCAAATGTAAAAAAACAGGCATAGTGCCCAGCCAAAAGGCACCAAACTAACCTTGACAGATTGAAAAAACATCAAATCCTCATATATTCATTTTGCGATTTCCAAGCCCCCATCTGTCAAGTACGAGTTATTAAAACTGGCATGTCTGCTTTTGTCGAGACCGCATTGGGGACCTGAGGGTTTAATGATTTGTCCTTCTCGCAAGTTAATTAATTGCCACTATTCATGGTCGCAATTTAATTCACCAATTCATCTTGGGAGGTTGACCGGGTGGCTCGGAGGTCACAGGGTTAAAGCCGGCACCACTGAAACCCTTGGTTCGAATCCAGGCAGCCATCTGTGGTTAGAATAAGTTACCCGGTGAAGCGAGACTATGGTCTGAGCCCGGCAACCAATGACCGCGAAAAAAAATCTCAACCGTCGTGAGAAATCTGCCTGCCGGACTAAATTTGCCTCAATTCCAGCTCTGAGAATAAGAAACATCGGTTTGACTGTCATGTGACGATGTTAATCTGCAGTTGGACGGGTAGGAAAGTGCTGCCCCCATGTGTGTGTGTGTCCAGAGGTCACTTGAAGGGATCTCAGTAGTAGTCCTGCGATATCCACTTCTCTGAGCAGTTCTCAAACACAGAGGGGTCATCGCAGTGCTCCGTGACAGTTACAGATGGATTCTTTGTCTTATGACGCGATGCCAACAGCGCAATCGCGATGAAAATGGGGAAAAAAAGACAAATTCTAAACAAAAACAACAGCAGTAATAGATATTATGTTTAAAACCGTGGCGAATATCACAGCCTCTAATGGCTAGAGGTCACGTTAACCCATTACATGAAACGTATATCAATAGAAAAACATCGACTCCTACACACGCAACTGAACGCATGTACCATGAGCTGCACAACCAATATTAATCGAAGGGTTGATGTATCGTTCCACTCGTATTGGACACCTGATGTGTGTGTGTCAAGTCAGACTGTTGGTGACATTGCCGAGTCAGGGTATTGGCTAACCATGGTGTTGGTTAGTCAGGGTGTTGACGAGTCAGGGTGTGGGCGAGTCAGGGTTCTAACGAGTCAGGCTGTTGATTAGTCGAGTGTGTTGGCGAGTTAGGTTATTGGTTAGTCGGGGTGTTTAGCCAATCGGGATGTTGGTGAATCAGGGTGTTGACTAGTCAGGGTGTTGGCGAGTCAGGGTGTTGCTGAGTCAGGGTGTTGGCGAGTCAGGGTGTTGGCGAGTCAGGGTGTTGGTGAGTCAGGGTGTTGGCAAGTCAGGGTGTTGGTGAGTCAGGGTGTTGGCGAGTCAGGGTGTTGGTAAGTCAGGGTGTTGGCGAGTCAGGGTGTTGGCGAGTCAGGGTGTTGGCGAGTCAGGGTGTTGCTGAGTCAGGGTGTTGGCGAGTCAGGGTGTTGGCGAGTCAGGGTGTTGGTGAGTCAGGGTGTTGGCGAGTCAGGGTGTTGGTAAGTCAGGGTGTTGGCGAGTCAGGGTGTTGACTAGTCAGGGTGTTGGCAAGTCAGGGTGTTGGTGAGTCAAGGGTGTTGGCGAGTCAGGGTGTTGGTAAGTCGAAGTGTTGACGAGTCAGGGTGTTGACTAGTCAGGCTGTTGGCGAGTAAGAGTGTTGCTGAGTCAGGGTGTTGGCGAGTCAGGGTGTTGGTGAGTCAGGGTGTTGGCGAGTCAGGGTGTTGGTAAGTCGGAGTGTTGACGAGTCAGGGTGTTGACTAGTCAGGCTGTTGGCGAGTAAGAGTGTTGCTGAGTCAGGGTGTTGGCGAGTCAGGGTGTTGCTGAGTCAGGGTGTTGGCACCCTGGGATCACTCACGTTTGGCCGGTTCGCTCCGGGAGGCACTGGGGTCATCATGGTGTACATGTTCTCATTGGAGCCGGTCGAGTCTAGAGCAACAAAGACAACAGCCCCCGGGCACAGTCAGGACATCACAAGTCAACATCTGCGACGCAACGGGCAGTCGTGGCAGCGACTCCAGCCAAGCTGACGTGCGGTAACACTGCAGTGACCCTGCACACTAGCGACGTTGTCGATGGTAGAAAAACCTTTCCTAAATCCAGCTTGCTCACATGATTGGTTTGGCCTCCAAGGGGGTACAATATTCTTGACTATAAATAACGCTGAGCCTATCTGCCTGCCCTGTCATACCCTTAATCCACTGGCACGCACACGAGGCCGAGCCACCACGGACACCGCATGGGTGGTTTTCCGACGGCAATTTACCAAGCCAAAACTAAACTGCGATTCGCTGGCCTAGAAAGGTATCTGTATCTGGCTTGTGGCCAAAGCTGGGCCAGAGGCGCGGGGTTCTTGACGCATTCATTGCATGCAACGTCGGCAGTACGGCTCGGTTTCTGCGCAGTGGAAAAATAATAACGCTCCTCCCGAGGAGCTACACAGGGGCCGTGCCGAGCCCTCCCGGCACGGCTTCAGGAGCTAGGTTGGTTTTTCCACTGCAGGAACCGAGCCGTGACGCACTTAGACGTCGACCGTGGCGATCAAGAGCCATGCCGCCATCACACGCAACGGACGCGTCCGCGAGCCCCAACGTCCGTGGCTCTGCTTGGCACCCCGAACCAGATTCGGATGTCCCGCGAGAGGCCGGCGTCGCGCGGCTTGGTTTGCCGAGTGGAAAAACGAGTATCTGGCTGCTCTAAGGTAGAAGGGACGTTTGGGTAATGGTGCTCGCTGCAGCCCGACGCTCGCTCACCTTGTGAGAGGCGGTGTCCGGCGAGCACCTGGGCAGGGTGGGGGCCACCGGGGGAACCTGCACATGGGGGTGACAAGACACCCACGTGACTCCCACGGGATTCTTCCACCCCCTCTACTGGAAGTCAACTGAACGTCAGTAATGGTTTTTATTTAATCTAAAACTAGGGGGGAGTGCGACTCTTAACGGATATCTGGGGTGGAGCGCTCAGTTACTACCTAACTGCAGTGCGGTCCGGCCGGGGCGACTGATGGTCCAGCACTCACTGATCCACTCCAATCGCTCGCTCGCTCACTCACTGGCGGCTAGTCGCTTCCCTGTCACTCTTCTATTGCTACTACCACGGTTACCGTTCCTGTGAACTGAAATTCGTTAACTACTCCATCCATGTTGAGGATTTGGTCGACCAGACCCTGACCGTTTCATTTCATCCTGCACACGGTGTTCAACTACTGCACGGCAGGTCACACTAACTCACCCACCCACCCACTTACCACACTGCAGGTCACAACACCCACCCACCCATTCACCACACTGCATGTCACAACATCCACCTACCCACTCAACACATTGTGGGCCACAACACCCACCCATTCACCAATTCACCCACCCACCACACTGCAGGTAACATCACTCACCCTCCCACCACACTGCAAATCACAACACTCACCCAACCCCTCACCCACCACACTGCAGTTCACAACACCCACCCACCACACTGCAGGTCACAATGCTTCTCTTTCTGCTTCTTCCCTCGCACTGCTTAACTTTCCAAATACCACCCTTGGTCCATTCTCCAAAACTCTTAAACGATAAGTCTGCTCAATTCAATAAACTGTTAAACATCACAACTGATAGTGGAGTGCTGTTTGTTGCCGGCCGTTTGACGTTTTGGGCCTCCGAGCTTGTGCTCAGCAACTGAGTTGAACTATAGAGACAGCCGTTTTTACAAGTAGAAAATAAACAACACTATCAATGAACGTCTGTTTAATTATTAGGTTGTTTAATATTCAGCCTCTGATTTTTCCCCATGTGACACAGATTAACCTGAACCCATAATCGCACTCAAGCTCAGCTGGCACACTCGGCAGTTTGTGTGGCTGCTCGCGTCTGGACGTGTAAGCAGGAGCGGTGAGCGCAATGAACTACGGACCCAGCCATCCAAGTTCGATTCCCGCTCAAGGCCAACTTCAGTGGCGAGTATCTGAAGGGGTCCTGGGATTATCACTTGGTCGACTCGATATTAAATGAGTACCTGGTGCCGCATGAAAATGCCGGTACTGGGGAAAACAACGGCAGCCACGAATGGTTCCGGCAACACCACCCCCTCGTGTGCCGTGCTGGCCTTCATAAGTGCTGCTTGCTCATGGCACTTGTGCTTATTTAGTGGGGGGCATGTTTTCTGCTGCAGTGTCGTGGTAAAGGGGGGGGGGGGCAGAGACACCGTGCGATAGTTACCTCCTGGGCTGGGCATGATCGGGGTTCCGGGAGGACCGCCACTACCAGGGGCACCCTATGGGAGATGCCCACATGCGCGCATACACACGCGCGCACACACAACAAGAGCAGGCATCGTTAACCCCACGAGACGGGCAAAGAGACACGCACATCAACGGCGGAAGACACGGACACCGACACGCACACACGAAGGCGGGCAGCACAAGCAGCACAAGCAAATACGCGCACGCACACACACGCACGTGCGGGGGCACACGCGGACACGAGCAAGCTGGCGCACGAGGACGGCCGCGTGAGCGAGCAAGCACGAACTGCGGAGGAGGGGAGCGAGGCGCGCGCATGGATGTCGAATGGCTCGCGGAGACGTGGAACACATACCCCGTAGCTTCCGGGAGAAGAAGCTGAAAAGGGAGCCTACAAGAAAAAGGACAGGTGGGGGCGGGGGTGGGGAGGGAGGGGGTGGGCGGGGGAGGGAAGAAGGTGAGACAGGAAATAACAAACGGAGGAGACGCCGAGCGACTCGGTGATGGGGCTCGGCCGAGCGAGAGAGACGCAAAGAGGCACGGACGGAATAACATCGGAGGGAAGAGGAACACAGATGGAAAAGCTTCAGTGCAAAATGGAGAGAGAACAGCTGATCACATGGTCACAGGGCGTAACAGTGCCAGGCCGCTTACGGCCCCCAAACCCCCCCACCCCCAAGTGCGGCCCGGGCTGAGGGCATCCGTTCACTCGGTAAACGTTGGACGGCACCGACACCACAGCTGGCGGCCGTGTCGGGCGAAACCATGACACGCGGCCTAGGGTGGTGCGAACCTCGCCAACGCATCGCTAATTTAATTACAAAAGTCACACGCATGGCACAGATGCTGTGATGCTTCCCCCCCAACATCGCGTTTCGTCCTCGGGAAGTGTTCAATTAGCGATGGTAACGTTATGTCCCGAGCCGCACGAACGGGATGACATCACGCAAGCACGGGCATGACATCATCGCCTTGGCCGGCAAACCCTTCAGTGCTGATTTTTATCGGAAATCAATCTGCCCTCGGTGTTATCCATGGCAATTCCGTAATGGCAACACAACTTGAAAAAAAAATCCGTTCAAATAATTATCTCATTATCTTCAAGAGAGATTTATCATGACCCCCACCCCACACCCCCATCACAAAATAGAGCAAACGCAGCAATATTTTTTAAATGATACGCACGAGTTACCACGTCACTTAGCATCCACCCCGGTTCCGATAGAGCAGTGGTTCTCAACCTTTGTTGGCGACTGCACCTTCCCCCCTTGTTGAATTGAATTTATTTTCAACCGAGTAGGACCACCCCTTGCCTGACCCAACATGGTTCTGAGAAATAAATGTACGAATAATGAACATCAATATGTTAACCATTTGTTCGTTTTGTGAGGTTACACTAAGTAACCGCAAACGAGTAATAAAAACGGACGCTTGCATTGCGCGACGCAATTCGTTCGCGCTCGCTGGTTACTCTTGGAAACCCACATTGTTGACGATCAATGAGTTAAGGTCTTCAATATAGTCCGAGGTTGCCATGCGGATTTACATTTTATCGCAGTTATTTTATATTGGCAGATTCACACGTCATTACACACACCAATGACTCCCGCGGATTATACATTTTCACGTAAAATCGCTTTGTGTACACCCCCTGGGGGACATTGCCGGTTGAGAACCACTGCGGTGGGAGACGACAACGGGCAAACGGTGCGACGCGAACGGCCGCCGGCACGAGGCCCAAGGTGTGGCGACAGACGCGCGAGGCCGGCTGTGAAATTTCGGAGCGGGCCGGGAGGGACCCACCGAGTTTGGGTTGGAGGCGTTAGGCCATGGACGTCCGCCGCCGGGTCCCCTGCGAAGGAACACGGGGGAGGGGGAAGGAGGATTACCAAACGCGACCACAACCGGCGCCGTTCACCGCAATATATACACACAGCGATTGTCATTTGGTATTATTATATTAGCCGCTTGTGCACCCAGCAAAAGGTCTCACCGAGTCTCAACTCTTTTTCACGAGGGGGGGGGGGGGAAGGGGTGCGGGGCGATTGTTGTTGTTGCTGCTGCTGCGGTTGCTGTGCATGTAATCCAGATCGAGTAATTTGCAGGAAACCAGTGACATTGTGCGTGTGCGTTTTTTAGCAATGAGAGACCACCGGAGGGAACCCATGCAAAACAAGGAGAGGCAGCAGAGTCAGAAATGTAACCCAGGCTCTTCCTGCAGTGAGGCACGAGCGTTGCCACTGCGTCGTCACCCGGCGATGATATACGATACGATGAAGAAAACTGTATCCGCCCGTAATGCGAAATTCTTTGATATTTTGATTATTATAATTTTCAAAAATTTTATTGTCTGAACAAAAAGGTTCTAAGAAAACTTGAGATTAAAGTTGTAAATAAACTCGCGCTATACCCGTTAAAATAGCGCTGTGCCAAAAGTTCGACGGACTAATTAGAGACATGCCAGTCACGTGACAACACCACATTTAAACTTAGATCAGCGTGATACGAGAGGACGGTTTTTCGTACAATACGAGGTCACGACGCCTCATTGCCGAAATTAGTTTTTCCTTTGGTCATTGAGGTAACTACCCACCCCCTCCGGTCACTGACTCCTCTATTCCCGGTCACTAGAGCTCTCACCCTGGTTACACAAAACACACTTGACCACAGTACTGTATTGTCACAATCATAATCACAGCTGTTTAACAAAAAAATTATATAAAATATATATTGCGGAAGTATTTAGGAAACAAACACAAATTACATAACAGTTATAGGGATTTAGCCCACTCTGCTAAACGCTTTCCAACTGAAGTTGGCAAAATGGCGGTTGCATGACATCACAGTTTCCGCAGTTCATTCGGTTATTTAATTATTCATGCGTGGCTTGGGTTGCATCATAAAACATGGCAGGATGTAACGCCACAACCGTTAAGAAGGCTCGTTGGCAGCCTCATGTCGAGTGAACTGCAGTGGAAGAACTTTTAATTGAGTCTTTTATTCGCACTGGGGAGTACAGCAAAGCGCAATATACACAGTGCAATAAAAATGCAATGTACACTTACGACAAATTATATCACGTCGCAGCTGTCCCCGCGTGCCACAAGGTTTGAAGCAGCTACCGGCCAGCAATTGGGCAATTAGTCCGTCAATAGAGAGCAATGCATCCAAGCGGTTTCACCCAATTAAGTAATTGGCGAGCGATTGATCAAATTTGGCAGATTTCGACCGTGACGCCGTCAACACGAATCCTACTCCGTTTCTAATAACGTCACGGGATCTTTCACGTGCACTATTGCCCGAAGGGACAGCTGCCATCGGTGGGTCCCTAAGGCTAAAACAGCAGCGTGCTACGAGACACTTGCTACGTCGTGGACGTAAAATGCAAGTTTGTTGTTGCCGTTTAAGCAGACGTCGCGTATTTACGGATAACGCAGCCGTACACCTGTAAGTGCGCGGAGCAGCGTGAATGTGGGGGGGGGGGGGGGAAGGGTGTGGAGAATGGGGAAGGTGGGGGGGGGAAGAGGGGGGTGTTGGGGGGAAGGGGGAGGTGTGGGGGTAGGGGGAATGGGGTGCAGTTGGGGGAAGAGGGGGCTGGTGGGGGGGGTGCATCGGCCTTACATGCTGACTCCAGGCATCGCGGGGCCCCCTAGCGGAGTGTGCGGGGGCCGCACTCCTCCCCCGTAGCTTTGCATGGGGAACCACGGTTCTGCCTGCACGGACACACACCAGGACACACACCAGGACGCACGTTTTAGCGGCAACCAAATCACCTTACTGTGCGTCGGAGCGCAGAAGCTAAGCAGGGTTAAGGTTGGTTAGTACTTGGATGGGTGACCACCAGGTCTTGCCAGGTGTTGTAGGCGTGGGGCTGCGAGGTGGCCAGGAGATGGCCGTGCTGAGTGTCACCCCCGCGTATGGGTGGTGGTGGTGGTGGTGCTGGTGGGTTTTCTCCGAGGTTCCTCCCGCACGCCAAACACTCATTAAAGGAATTGGGCAAACATCGCGCTGAAGCAGGACCCTCCTGAAAAAAGAGTCTTGAGACTCAGTGAGGCTGTCCATGGGGTAAATGATTGCCATCGTTCATGACAGGGCCCACAGAGGGCACGAACCCCACCCCCCCCCAACCCAGCTCCTCCGATTGGAACACCGCCACTTGTTCCAGAAGGCAAATACCAACCCAACAGCTCTCACGCACACACTGAGATTCCTACAGTGAAGATGAACCAAACCAATGCTGGGATCTTACCTACAGAACTAATTATACAGCCTAGAGTTCAAACCTAGGTGGAGTAATCAAGCATTAAAATAATACGGATTCAGTCAATTATTTCTTTCCCCAGCATTACGCTGCCCGTGTCATGTGATGAGACAAAAGGTCTGCGAAAACCTCTCGCAGTGCAACCCCCCTTCGTATTTACAGAGAACGGCACCCACGGAAGCGGATGTCACAGAGCTACCGCCGAGATCCCGTCACGTGACCTCTGCTACACATCGTAGAGGGGGCTGCACTTTGCCACCTGCTCTGCCATGGAGAGTAACGTTCGTCGTGCGATGGGCATACTGCGATTTTTTTTTTAATTATCAAGAGTTGGCATTTGTCCTGAATCAAGTGCAGAACCAAATTGAATGCAATTTTTTTTTGGGGGGGGGGGGTATTTTCCTGCAGTCATAGGTGACGGGGCTAACCTAGAGAGATCAATGCTAGGGGGTGTAATGATGCCTTTGTTCATCGATTCATCGATCAATATATATAGTTTGAACATTTATGCAAATTGCACGCAGTGTTATAAATACGATCCGCATAATTATGGCAAGGAGGTGTACAGAAGCATGAGAATTGAGGAAAAACGTTCACGATACAAGGGAGGCAGAAAAAAAACAAAAAAATCATCGATGCCCGATTGCAATTGCGGTCCTCGATCGCGACAATCCATCAAATCATCACAGCCCCAGCGAGTACAAAACAAAAATCCCTCTGTAGATTGAACTCGGTCCGCTGGGTTCGTAGCGCAACGCACTAACCAGAACACTACCGCTCCCCACTAACGGATACACACACACATGTGCGTGCGTCCATAACAGTCGCGCCGAGAGAACAGGCAATTCCTAGGAGTTGTGTAAAATGAGAATTGGGCGAGGGGGTCTTTAGCGGCGACGCAACACACGCCTGTCGCTGCAACTCGATTCAACACGAATGCGGGCCACAATGGAATCTTTTCGATAAAAAAAATTACTCGAATTGAAATATTCCATCTTGATTCGAAGCTTTCGTGACTGCAGGAACCCATACTCTGGTTCTTTCGGTAAAGTCACGTAGGTAGAGAATGAAATCAAATAAATCACGACGTTTCGGGCGCAACACAAGCATCCATCATCAGGTGGGAAAGCATATTTTGATCTCGATCGATTGGCCAATGGCTTTCTGAGATTTTACTTTCATTGGTGGCAATTAAAGTGGCAGCGCAGTGCTGCTCTGCACGAAGAGCGCGATGATAAAAGAAAACTGTCGGGTTACTTCAAAGCAACAATGGAAACCGATCGCCGACGCTGTTGCATCACCTGAGGTCCCATGGGCGCCATCCCCCGCGGAGGAGTCATCCTCTGGATAGGGCCCATCCCAGCATGCCCTGCATCCACAACACGTATGAGGGGGGAGGGCAGCAGTCGTGAAAATCGAGCATGCGCCTCGAATGGATGAATGAATGGGGACAACATCGGCCAAGTCTAGTGTCTTGAGATGACGGTCACATGTAAATCCACATCGTATTGTGACTGCATGCATTTATGTTGAATTTATTCGCACCGTACGTAGCCAACCATGCTAATAGGAGATGCGGGGTTGATTGTAGGGTTGATGGTGATGAGATTTTGTATGGCCAAGGGCAACGATTACAGATTCAGTTCTAAGTGATTTCACCACTCAGCTGCTTTAATACGTAGCAATAATAATAATAATACTGATATTTTATAATTGGGTCACTGATGCTAATAGCATCCCATAATGCTGTACATTAATTACATATAAGGACCAAACCCCAATACACAGCCACTACCAAGCAAATGAAAACCACTACTGCTACCAAGAAAAAAAAAACTGAATAAGTAAATTAAGAAAAAAAATCAGAAAAACGTTAGCGCAACAAATAAATTTGACCATGAGGTTACATCCGCCTCCAAATATATGCTTGGTCACGGGGCGGGGAAACTCACCGGGCTGGCGAGTCGGGTCCATGGTGCTGGGCATGAGCGGCTGTGGCCCCGGCATTCCACCCATGCCCTGAGCGGAGCGAGGCAAACACAGACGCAGCAGAGAGCGGCCACACGACGGACTACCGTCAAACAGGGGCAAGCACCACCCTCGGTGACAAGCGCGGTGCACGAGCCGCAAGTGGGAGGATTGTGGCGTGCGTGGTGTGCTTGGGGTGTATGTGTGGTGTGTGTGTGGAGTGTTCGTGGTATGTGTGGTGTGTGTGTGGTTTCATATGGATGTGTGTGTGGTTTCATATGGATGTGTGCGTGCGAATTTGATTGGTGTGTTGTGCGGCTTGTATAATGTTGTCAATGTATTGCTCCGTGTATTGCATTTTGTGTGTGGTTGTGCCGTGTGTGTGTGTGCCATGTGTGTGAGATCCTGCCATGTGTGTGTGCGCGCAATTTGTGCCGTGTGCGTGTGTGGTTGTGCCGTGTGCGTGGTTGTGCTGTGTTGTGTGTGGCTCCCTCGTGTGTGTAGTAGTGTCATGTTTGTGTGGTCGCGTGGTGTGTGGCTGTGTGTGGATGCATTGCGGTTGTACGTGCAACACAGCTCTGTGGTTGCGTGTCTGTGCTGTGGTTGTGTGGTAGCGCCGTGGGGTTCTGTCGCGGTGCGTCACCTGTCCGGGCATGCGGTGAGGTCCCCGTGGGCCCCCGGGGAAGCGCGGAGACATGAACGCCTGCAGCGGAAGAGACATCATAGCAAGCGGACAGCATCCCCATCAGCTCCACCCACGTCCCCCCCCCACCCGTACTCAGCCCAACTAGTGCCGGCACGATTCATCGATTATACAGATTATTCTTTCATTGTCGATTAATCAAGATGGCCGCGGGGGCTTGGATGTCAGAGCGCCGAGTTGGCACCGATGAGATCCTGGGTTTGAACCGGGGTTTCAGCCGCCCGTGGTTAAACCAAATTTTTTCGTGTAGCGAGTCAACAATCTCTGCCCGTTCACCAACGACCGAACAAAAAAGAGGCCCATCATGCAAAATATGGTTCCGCGCTTAATTGGGCTAAATTTGAGACGTCGGTTTCAATGTCACGCGGTTCCAATCATGCGTGGCAATATTTTCAGGAGCCAAATGCCAACGTCGAGGTCTACTCGCCACGACGAGCTGGCGGCTTCAGGAGAGAGTTGGTGCAGTTTTGCTATTCTCTGTTGAAGCAGCACAGACTGCTGTATGGTCCATAGTTGGAGTTGCATGGCCACAATCACACTTCTGTGGCTTGTGTTTAATTGTCCATTCACGACATTGTCATGCAATGAACATTGTGGCAGGGCGGGTGGGAAAGTGGGCCGAGAAAATTAAGTAATGCCACTCCGTCACACCTGGTTAAAATTTACATTGATGGTGAAGAGGACCACAATGCACTTCTTTGGGAAAGGCCAAGCACTTTTAAATCAGGGAAGAAATTAAAACCCGCGATTAAACACACGAATAGAGTCTCGCGTGCTGACATTGTTTCCATTTCCACAAATAAAACGCAAACTAATTGCGAAGTTTAATCCATAGCATGGAAGCCACATTCTATAGGCGAATCGATTATTTAATTAGTCAGTCATTGCAGCCGTACGCGTAATACTACCCGAGTGTGTGTGTGTGTGCGCGCGCGTTCACGTACCTGTGCATGCGGACCCATCATTCCAGGCCCTGGTGGGGGTTGTGGGTGAGGGGAATGCTGGGAGCCAGGAGGACCCTGAAAAAAGCACAAAGGTCCCCCATATAGCCTAAACAGACCTCTAGGACAAGTGCTGTTATAGCGAGCAGCACCCATTAAGGGTGGCACGGCACACGACGGAACGGTGTTGCCAGCACCACGCCCGGCCGCCTCTCGTTTCCCGAGAGTTGAGGTTCACAATTCTGCTCGCTCTCCCGATAACCCGTGAGCGGTTTATCCGTGCCGTAGATTAATTATTGGCGCTGGCAGAAAAACATCTTGGAAGTGCACAGGGGTTTAATTAGCTGCTCCTCACTCGTTGCGGATGGGTGACCAGAGTGCCCACGCCTTTTGTGTTTTTGTTTGTTGTCCTTCCCCGCACCTCCGATTAGCACGGTTGGGTACGTACGGCGCAAAAGAAATTCAACATCCATATACATCACCTACACGTCGGTCGGGAAGCAAACGGACAGCGAACTCTACAAATGTACGTGCATTTTCCACCGTCCGTAATTTTTTTTTCTGGGTCATCCCTCGCCACTCCCCCCCCCATTTTACCTCGGATAATAGTGAAGTGACCGCATCACACCCATGGCATGGAACGATGCACATCCAAATTGGCCGTGTAAGAATGAATTGTTCAAAGTTTAAGCGAAACCAATGGAGCAAGCAAAGCTGTTACATGAGACAGATCGACAAGAAACGCTCCGAATGAGTCGGTAAAAACGAGATAAAAAAAGACTTAAATCGTGACGGGCATAGCAGCTAAAAAAAGTGAGAATTCACTCAACTGCGGTGGTAGCGGGGTAACGTTTGCGTTCCCATTACACAAGAATACAATAACGACAACAACAACAAGAAGCCATTCACCACTCAGCGGCGATGACGTCACCACAGCACTTTGTGCCAGGCGAGGTGCACTACCGAGACCACGTACCGCAACACCATCGACCAAACAACGCGCCGCAATACGGCACAATCAACGTCACAGATTCACGACAAATATTTTCTAAATGACACCGAAACCAAACAGTTTTTTTTTTCTTTAATCTGCCACAATGCAGGCGGCAAACTCTCGACAAGACATGACCCCCACCCTGACCGGCTGCCCCCCCCCCCCACCTCCCTCAACGACCCCATTTTCCTGCACGACGTGTACTCGTGCAAGCTGCATTTGCCAATGGAGTGGGGGGGGAGGTGCCCTTCGAGGTTGCGGTTTGGAGCAGCAGGGGTGGGAGGGAGGGGGAGGGGAGGGAGCAGGGGGCCGATGATTTTTTTCCCGGGGAGCAAGCAGCGAGCTAGAGCGCAGAGTGCCCCCGTGGTCGTCAGTGACGCAATCACTTCCTGCATTAGCCTGGAGCCCCGAGGGAGCGATCTCCGCCCATGTTTGGTCAAAAAAAAATCCACAACCGCCTACACCACCACCTCCTCCCTGCGCTACGACCATCACAACCGCCTCCACCACCACAACCGCCTCCACCACCACAACCGCCTCCACCACCACAACCGCCTTCACCACCACAACCACCACCTCCCTGCGCTATGACACACCACAACCGCCTCCATCACCACAACCGCCTCCACCACCACAACCGCCTCCACAAACACAACCACCACCTCCCTGGACTACGACCACCAACGCCGCTGCTACCACAACCGCCTCCACCACCACCGCTGCCTCCCTGCGCTATGACCACCATCACCACCACCACCTCCCTGCGCAACGACAACCACCACCGCAGCCGTCGCCACTACAAAAGCCTCTACCACCACCACAACTGCCTCCACCACCACCACCACCGCCGCTGCCGCCTCCCTGCGCTACAACCACTCCACTCCACCTTGCCGCTCGACACCCACATCCCCTCGTTCGCCTGAAATACATTTCCTGAGTTGCATGCAAAGGAACAAAATAACCATTCGAGCAGTCCTGGAGAATATACCTAGATAAGTAAGCAGAAGAAAACATGCCCTCCTTCAATCGTTACCCGCCCCTTCGCAGAACTAAATATATATTTACACATCCCGTCAACCAAACGGTCTTCTGGTAGTGAAAATTTTCCGCTGAATTGGCTCAACACAAAGTCCAAAGACTTGCATGTCAACCCTACGACTCGGTGGGATACACTTTACATGAGCCATGTGACCCATAAACTGGAATAGAGACCCATAGACTTGAATAGAAACCCAGAGACGTTGGAAGACGCCTGGAGACTCCATTCTAAAAAGCCAAAAAGTCCATTTCTCTTTGATAGGGTCAGCAGCTCACGATCCTTTCTCTATTTGCTTGCATCCCACGCTTCCTCTCTCGTCACGTCCACTACCCTCAATCCACTGCTGGACGACGGCTTCCCCACGTTTGCGCGGGGTCGTGGGTCGCGGGGGGTTTTGGGGGGCGTGGGGGGAGACTCGACCATGCTTCGCCACGCCGGTCAGCGCGGGTTTGGGTGAAGGCGAGGCAGCGTAGACAAGGCAGCGTAGACAAGGCAGCGTAGAACTAGGCAACGTAGACAAGGCAGCGTAGAACTAGGCAGCGTAGAACTAGGCAGCGTAGACAAGGCAGCGTAGAACTAGGCAGCGTAGACAAGGCAGCGTAGAACTAGGCAGCGTAGACAAGGCAGCGTAGACAAGGCAGCGTAGAACTAGGCAGCGTAGACTAGGCAGCGTAGAACTAGGCAGCGTAGAACTAGGCAGCGTAGACAAGGCAGCGTAGACAAGGCAGCGTAGAACTAGGCAGCGTAGACAAGGCAACGTAGAACTAGGCAACGTAGAACTAGGCAACGTAGAACTAGGCAGCGTAGAACTAGGCAGCGTAGAACTAGGCAGCGTAGAACTAGGCAACGTAGAACTAGGCAGCGTAGACAAGGCAGCGTAGACAAGGCAGCGTAGAACTAGGCAGCGTAGACAAGGCAGCGTAGAACTAGGCAGCGTAGACAAGGCAGCGTAGAACTAGGCAGCGTAGACACGTAGACAAGGCAGCGTAGAACTAGGCAGCGTAGAACTAGGCAGCGTAGAACTAGGCAGCGTAGAACTAGGCAGCGTAGAACTAGGCAGCGTAGAACTAGGCAGCGTAGAACTAGGCAGCGTAGAACTAGGCAGCGTAGAACTAGGCAGCGTAGAACTAGGCAGCGTAGAACTAGGCAGCGTAGAACTAGGCAGCGTAGAACTAGGCAGCGTAGAACTAGGCAGCGTAGAACTAGGCAGCGTAGAACTAGGCAGCGTAGAACTAGGCAGCGTAGAACTAGGCAGCGTAGAACTAGGCAGCGTAGAACTAGGCAGCGTAGAACTAGGCAGCGTAGAACTAGGCAGCGTAGAACTAGGCAGCGTAGAACTAGGCAGCGTAGACAAGGCAGCGTAGAACTAGGCAGCATAGAACTAGGCAGCGTAGACAAGGCAGCGTAGAACTAGGCAGCGTAGAACTAGGCAGCGTAGAACTAGGCAGCGTAGACAAGGCAACGTAGAACTAGGCAGCGTAGAACTAGGCAGCGTAGACAAGGCAGCGTAGAACTAGGCAGCGTAGAACTAGGCAGCGTAGAACTAGGCAGCGTAGAACTAGGCAGCGTAGAACTAGGCAGCGTAAGACAAGGCAGCGTAGAACTAGGCAGCGTAGAACTAGGCAGCGTAGAACTAGGCAGCGTAGAACTAGACAGCGCAGAACTAGGGCGCAAGGACGGCTCTTGCCGCCCAGCACGTCGCCCCAAGGAGCCCAACAACGAGAACCCTGCTTGGTGCATGGCAGCCTCCTCATCCAAGCACGATCCAGGCTCGGCGTTCTGCTCGGCTTGAGACCCGACGGGACCGGGGCGCGTCGCCGGGGAGGTTTGGCCACGGGGCGACGCTCGAGCCAAAAAAAAAAACCGCGCGGACGTCAACGCTCGCTCGCGCGCTTTTCTCGCCGTTACAATTTCGGCGCTGGCACCAAATCTTGATCATCGGCGATTGCGACCGCAAGGCCACCGTGCCCCCACTGCTGCGTGTGGGTGTGCGGCAAGCCACACGCTCACAGCCTGGTCACTCGCAGCAATGCACTCGCCCTCCCTTCCCACCCTCCACCCCCGCCGCCACCACCAACCGATAACCCCCCCCCCCGATCCGAGGTCTTTGGAAAATGTAAAAACAAACAGGAAGTGTTGCGTTCCACCAGCAGAGCAAACCCTAAATACGGGGCCATTAGTGGCACTCAACATCCTGCCCGAGTATTAGAGGACGCCCCTACCGCGATTGGAGACTCGGGGCCTCTACGCCTGGTAATTAAGGGTGGAGTTATCTATTGTTACCATACTTAAACCATGCTGGAGAATGTGGTTTGGGTGGGAGGGGGGGGGGCATAGAAGCACGGTACAACAGATTTCGCTGCACTTGCGTCCAAGCCGAGCATCACGTAGCACAGCCACCACCTACGTTATTCTTGCGCGCGCAGTGGTCGCCCCAATCACGAGCTCACCAGGCTCGACAACGCTTAGCTTTCGAGAGCCGGCAGAATCGGATCGGGCGCGTCCCGGGGTGATTCGGCCATCGCTGCGATGCGCCACGCTCCATCGTCGACGCTCCCCGCCTTCGCCAAACCCACGCTGGACCAGCGCGGTGAGGAATGCCGCTGGTACATTAACCGCGACACACGCTGCCTGCTTCAGGGCAGGCGGACGTACAAAAGCCCCATGGCGTCTTAAGCAAGAGCAGGCCATCGAGTGCCGGCGTCGTGGTCAACGCTTTGCCAAATTCGGAAACGGCACCGCCGGTCACCATTTCTTCAAGGCAGCCCCCCCTCTGCCTATATGGAAAGTCACCACGCTTGCACATTCGCAGCATTCAAATCTACACCGACTTTTAATAGCCCACTTCTTCCTTAAAGGGCCCTTCCCCCACTTCTTTCGCCCGACTTCCCGGCGACACCGAGCTTGGCTCCCGCACCTCGGGGTCACGGTGAAATAGCCGCCCGCCCCCCCCGCCGCCCACTCCCCCCGCCGCCCACCCCCACGCGATGCGTGGAGGCCCACATCCAGCAGTGGATGGGTACCGCTGGCACAATTGGCTTCGTGCTCATCACAGAAAAAACCCACGGCGGTTCTCATGCGCCGCGTTTCAACGCGCCCGCCCGTCAGGCGCAAGGATCACCATTCGTCGACACGGATCGCCGTTTATATTTTTTGGACTGTAACCCAATTCTTGCACCTCACTCGCGGACAACTGTAAGCCCTGTACGAGACGTAAATTACCGTCGTTAAGGAACAGAATCGAATTGAGAAAAACAAATAATAATTCACTCGTACCCACCCCCCTTCCCCGTAATCTGCGAATATCCTCGGTGTGCAGAAGGGCAGGTGACTCACCTGGTAGAATCCTGGGGGAATTCCATCTCCCGGCGGGAGATTTCCCAGAACGGGGCTTGCGGCAGCTGCTGCCGTCTGGAAACGACAGTGCACGTACGGAAACAGTTAGCGTCGATCCGGGCGACGCTGTGCACGTGTATACAGCATCCATACTCATCCTCCAACTGCTGGCTTCATTCAGGGGTGGTTCCCCGCTAAATCGCTTCTCTTAACAAAACCCATTTATTTCAACTCCGATAGAAATTTGGCGAATTCACAGGCTGTTATTTCCATTGCTTTATATACCAGCACGTTTCTTCTCTCCGTGGCGAGTCTATGGGTCTCTGCGCAAGTCTGTGTGGATCTCTATGCGAGTCCACGGGTCTCTGCGTGATTCTGTGCGCCTCTGTGCGAGTCTATGGGTCTTGGTGCAAGTCTCCGTAGCCCTTCCCATTGCATCTCCTTGGCTCCAATCCTCAATACGGTGGACACGGGGGGGCGGTGACGCGACCCACAGGTAGTGCGCGTTCACCAATTGTAGCAAGAGGTTCATGATTCGAAACCGGCGGGCGCCCCCCCCCCCCCAATCTTTAACACGCGAGTGCGCAATAAACGTAGCCGTCGCGACAACAATACGACGCGCCGAAGCCGCTGTTGGCCGCTTTTCGGTGGACGTTAAAAAGACCCAGTGGCGTCATTTGCCACCGTTTAGCCGTTGCGTGCCGGAGTCATCGGTGCAAATGTGACGTATCACCACCCGCAATGAGTGTCAATCAACTGGAAATGTGCGTAACGACAATTTGGCGCGACAAAGTTTAGCACAGAGATACACACACCGTGTCAACCCATACAGTTTACCCCGTATTCTTGTACAGGGAAAATTAGTTCAGGTCCATACGGCGTACAGCCGTTTCAATACGGACTTTTTTTGTTTGTTTCTGTTTCTCCCTTGTGATGGGACTTTGTAGGATGAACTTTGAGATGTATCGGGGCACAGGCTGACCAACAAGATCTGAATTGGACTGTGATTAGGGATTGACAGGTATGGATACACGACGTTTCGCTCAAAACTGCGCCAAGACGCAATAAAACCGGTGGGCTGCGTCAATTAGAACTGGTGGGGCAGAACCAATTAGAACAGAGCCGAGCTGAAACAATGAGTGATAATTAGCGCAATCAAAACACTTGTACGCCCGACTTCACTTGTTTGGCTGCGTCGTAGGTGGGGGGGTGAAGGGCCTTAACGTAGTCCTAACCCACACACTATGAATCATCGGGCGGTCCGGCACAAACCCACGCGTTAACGAAAACACGCATTGTACGTATTGTCACAGAGCAGCAACACTGGTGCGCTTGTGTGTGTGTGTGCGTGGTGGCCGCGTGGTCGTCCTCACGTAGTCGTGGAAGGCCTTCGCCTCGCTCGAGTGCTCGCATGTCTCCCTGCGTTCAGGCGCGGCGCAGTAGAGGTCCCAGAAAACGCTGCGCGGACATCAGACAACGCCACGGGGGGAGGGGGAGGGAGGAGAGCCGTCAGAACGACACAACACAGCCGTGGGGGTGTCACAACGAGACAACGCCACGAGGGGGGTGGGGGGGGTGGTCACAACGAGACAACGCCATGAGGGGGCGGGGGGGGGGTGGTCACAACGAGACAACGCCATGAGGGGGCTGGGGGGGTGGTCACAACGCCACGACGGGGGGAGGGGTCAGACAGCTACACGCCAAGCACAGGGTTACGAACAACCACAGGTCAAGTGCCACTTTCCTTCTTTAAATGCTTTGCATCTTTTTATCCAACTAGCACCGCCCGCTTATTTGCATGGGATACACAGCCGGGGTGGAGGGGAGGTGGGTGGAGGGAGAGTAACGTCAGCCCAGCACGCGAACCACTACCCCGACTCAGCTCTGTGGGATATGGGGGCGTGACGTCATAGCGCAGATGTGCGCACAGTACATTTCTGCCATACCGTGATATTTTATAAGTTTCAGGAAACAAGCTAACTGGCATTGGCCAAACGTCCCCGTGCTAAAAAAATTACCTGCAAGTTACTCATTTGGGATTACGCACAGAAGCAACGGCGTCTCCTACTGATACAACTTGGCAGAGCCCTCACCTAAATAAGCGATTCGAGAGTCAGTGAGGCTCTCCTGGCTAAACCAGGCGGAATAAGTTTCACAGGAATGCCGTAAAGACGATTGCTTTAGGCCGTGCCAGACTAGCCTACTTATACGTTACACAGGGTTTTACCTGCAGGCACCGGTGAGATAGCAAGCTGAACGTTAATTTCATAGCATGTGTCCCATTACGGCAAAGGATGGAAACGACATGTACATTGCTGCAATAATCCATGGTACAAAAGGACACGTGCCACGTACACTCCGTGCGCCAGCCAACAGCTGAGGCCGGCAGTAAATGTGGGGCATTGAGATTGTGTGTACGTATGTGTGCATGTATTTTGAACTTCTTTCGCACGGCCAACCGTTCTAATCTGAAGTGCAATTAGCCTGTGAAGGCCAATATCGTTGCGTCTTGGACGATCATCGCGGGTGGAGCCAGCTAGGGCTTGGCGCCCACCGGGGTTTTTGTAAGGTGGCCTGGAGGTGGCATGGCGTGGTTTTGTAAGGTGGCAAGGTGTGGTGGTTTTGTAAGGTGGCATGGTGTGGTGGTTTTGTAAGGTGGCAAGGTGTGGTGGTTTTGTAAGGTGGCAAAGTGTGGTGGTTTTGTAAGGTGGCAAGGTGTGATGGTTTTGTAAGGTGGCAAGGTGTGGTGGTTTTGTAAGGTGGCAAGGTGTGGTGGTTTTGTAAGGTGGAATGGCGTGGTGGTTTGGTAAGGTGGCCTGGATGTGGCATGGCATGGTGGTTTTGTAAGGTGGCAAGGTGTGGTGGTTTTCTAAGGTGGCATGGCGTGGTGGTTTGGTAAGGTGGCCTGGATGTGGCATGGTGTGGTGGGGTTTTCTCCGGGTCCTCCGGTTTCCTCAAAAAAGCTAAAACACTGAATGGAATTGGTGAAAAATCCCGCCCGATTCGGTACCCTCCTGAAAGACTGTCTTGAGACTCTACGTGGATTTTCTGTCTAAATAAACGTGTGACATTAATATTCAATCCATCATCACTCAGATGGTTGTTTGTATTGATACTAAATGACAGGAGTCTAAATAAACACCCAGACAGAGATTTAACTCAGGTATCACTACTGCTGGTGGGCCGGCTTTGTGAAGCGTTCAAAACCCACATTAAACGCACGCAGAATTTAACCAACACACCACCAAGGTACGCACCGCACATGCGAAAGCTCTCGGCCTCATCCATCTTTCCATTTGCGTTCGGTTCTCTCGTCAGTTGCAGACATTGGTTTAATTTAAAATGCAAAACAATTTACACCAACGGGAAGACAACCAGAAAACATCCTCAATTGTGGCGAGACGTCTTTTCCTCCCCACCCCCCCCCACCAAGTCCATCTGCCAGCCACCGTCAGGGGTCACAGGGCACCGGCTTTGGGTCCTTTTCACAACTCCGTCGCCAAAAGCATTCACACGCACAGCGCGCACGGCACTGCCAGCTACGAACGAGGAGGGGGGGGCGGGGAGGGGGGGGCTCCCTTTGTTCCAAGCCAAAGCGGGGGGCACGTGCATCGTGGCCGCCTGCTCTGGCTGTGTCTGTGCGGCACTCACCACCACCACGAGTGTAGGAACCCCGGCGGTTCACCCAGAGTTATGTTCTTTTCCCATCGGATCTGTCACACGCACACAAAGACAAAGATCCCCCACCGCGTAGCCGTGAACAGACTGTTGGGGCGAGTGTTGTCAGCGAGCAACTATGAAGGCCGGCACGGCACACGCGGTTGTGGGTTGGCCAGCACCACGCCCAGCCGCCGTTGTCTCCCTAGCGGCGATGCTTAGACACCGTACCAGGTACTCATTTATGGCCGAATCGACCCAAGGGAGGCCCAACTCCAGTTCAGATATTTGTTACCGGTGATGGCCGTGAGCAAGAATCAAACTCGAGTCGTCGGGTTCATAGCGCAGTTGCGCTAACCACTGCGTCGACGCTCCCCAACGCACACACATGCATCTTAACATTAATCATAGTCATCATCAGCCATGTTCACTTCACTGCTGGATGAAGCCCTGCCACCCCCTCCTCCCCCCATTGCCCTCAAGGCTTAATTTCTCACTGCTAAATTTCCTAGTTGCTGGAAGCCTGGAGTAGGCACATTGACTCGTAACCACAAAGATCACCCGTATAGTCTTTAACAGACCGTTGGTGGCCAGCACCACGCCCGACCGCCTTTGCTAGTAACCACACAAACCGAGGGGCGCGATTTACTAGATGTGGTGTGCTGGGGTGGAGTGGGGGGGGGGGTCTCTGACCCGCACAGACCCAGCTGGAATTTAGCCCTGGCCTCTCCCCCAAGCCGTCGCCCACTCTCGCGGTCCCTGCGACGCAGCAATCCACTTAGCGTCTCCGCGTACACGCAGCTGATTTCATCGCTCGCATATCCGCAGACGACACTGTATCGCGCGTGCTATCCCCTCCTTTTGGCCGTTACTCTGATGTCACGCATGCCCACCGCCAGTGATCGCTCCGTCTGTTTGCACGTCTCTTTGTTGAACTTCTTTCGCATCGTACGTAGCCAACCGTGCTAATCGGATCCGTCTCCTAATGGGAGATGTCTCCTATGCAAGCACCTCCTACTTCCTCCCATCTAAATAAGGATTATGATCAAGATTTTTACTTTATTAACAATAAAAATTATGCCAATGCGTTCCATTTTGTCTTAATCAATGTAATTGCGTGCATGCATCTCTCCGTGCATATTTGCAAACCTAACCATTTCCCAGTTCCTTCGTTGATGTCCAGGTTTGTGATCATAATGGGTGGTAAGCGCCGATTAATAAAAAGGAGGTTTTTTTTCTCTGGTCACATTGCTATGATGCGTTTCATTATTAGGTTCAACTTTCCAAAATCACTCCCGTCCATCTCTCGTGCAAATCTTTAACTCATTATTTTCATCCTTGATCCGTTTTAAAATTTGCCCTAGATTCTCATGATCTGCTGCGTATTCCCGTTTGTGCCCCACCTCTGAAGGACATCTACCATTGTTTTCTCGCACAAAACATTTCACTTCGCTCCCGGTTATCCTGAGCCCCTCGTGCGCAATCTTCTCTAGTTACTGGGCACTGTGCGGCAAAAGCGACAATCAATTTGTCGTCAATTTGCATGCGATTATTGATAACGCTAAATGACCCAAGTAAACAACCCCAATGAAGCACTCCACCGCACTGCAGCCTCGACTGTGGGGGGGGGGGGGGGGGTTGGCATCGATTACTGGAACCTACCCCGCTACGGGCGGCAATGCCGGCAACAGCTCACGGAAAAATGGTGAAATATGGTGGTGGGGGGGTGGGTGAGGAATGGGGGGGGGGGGCTCTCACCTCGGACAGGAAGGTCTGTGCCGCCTTCTGTGCACCCACGTGCAGCAGATACTCGTACACATAGAGTGCCAACCTGCAAAGACACAGACAAAGGTGCAATTCCTGTTACCGCGCACCTATTAAGAGGCCAGTACGGCTGGGTGGTCAGCACCACGCACGGTCGCCTTTGTCTCCCCAGTAGCGATGCTTACACACCGCACCAGGTACTCAACTGAGACTCAGTCGACCTCGGGGAGGCCCAGGACCGGTTCAGATAATCGTCACCGGTGTTCGGCGCGAGCGGGAATCGAACTCGGCTCACCGAGTTCGTAGCGCGTTAACCTCGTTACGCCGCCGCTCGCCGCCGTGCCCCCACGTGCATCAGATACTCGTACACAGAGTGCCGACGTACGTCCACACACACACACACAATCGCTGTGCCACACCGTGTGGGCTTTCGCGGCTTGTGCCGCGCGGCTCTCTCCAAACGCCGGAGAGAGCGAAACGTCGGACACCCGTGCACGAACCAAGGGGACGGTCGGAACGGAAGACGCATCGGAGCGACGGCGATGACGCTTATTTGCCGTCACGAGTCGGGGGAATTTAACGCCCGTCGTTCTCCGGAACCAGCGGCTGGATTTACAACCTACAAATCGATGTATTGCTCCCCCGCTCATTCAATATTCCATACAGCTGGAAGAAGCAAAGGCAGGCCTCAAAACAACGTACACAGCGGCATAGCCGTAGCCACACAATGCAGGCACCAAAAACACGCAAGCCGGAGCCCGCTACATCGGATGGCTTCAACAAAGCACAGTCATCACAGCCTCGCCACGCAGAGCCAAAGGGGCCCGGCCAAAACGCCAGCACAGCCACGAATTCATCGCAACGCGACTCCATCATCGCGGAACGTGAACCTTAGGCCACAAAGCGCGATCACGAAGACAATCACAGCACCGTCCCGGGATGCGGCGTGCACAACACAGCACCCCTAGCACTAACCAACACACACACACGCACAGCCCTGAAGGCTACACCACCACACACAGGCGTATCCCGAACACTAAACTACACGTCGATGGTCCTATAACCAGAACAATACACCACCGAGAACAAAACACACAGCCCTGGCCCCCCAACAATAGCGCACACAACACCGGCCTAAACCTAACAATACACCCCACCACCACAGCACTAACCCCAACATTATCCGACACAACACAGCCCTGGCCCTAACACTACAGCCTGACCAAAACGTTACACAACAGACCCTTTGCTTCTTTCGGTAAAGTCACGTAGGTATAAAAGAACACAACAGCCCGATCTTGATTCAAATCAAGATAGGATCGTGAAACACATTTTCTAGCCCTACCCCCAACGCAGCCTCATATACACAAAGCCCTGAACCCTGCATGTGAACTGCGACATGAACACTGTAGAACATACGAATCATACACCACGCAGGCCTAACAATGCGGGCCCTTACACGAACACAACATCATACACAACTCCAACCCTATCTGCAGCACAACATTATCGTATGCAATACAGAGCCATAATTCGAACACAGCCTCATACACAATGCATCCAAAATGATGCAACACAAAGCCCTGAACCCTGCAGATAAACTGCGACAAAAACACTGTACAACACACTAATCATACACAACGCAGTCCTAACACAACACTTCGTTACACAATGCGGGCCTAACACTCACACAACACCGTACACGATGCACCCGTAACCCAGACCGGTAACAGAACGTGCTCTAATACACAATGCAGTGCTAAGCCCTAACAACAGTCGCATACACAATGCAGTCCTAAGCATAACACAACAGTCTCCTACACAATGTATACACCCCTTAACACGCGCATGCACAATGCAATCCTAACGCTGAACAACACAACGGCACCATTTGAAATGCAATCCTAACCTTAAATCACATAAACCACAACAACAACAAAACGCACTCACGCAATGTGCAGAACACATCCAGACACATTCATAGCGCCGACACAACAGAGCCGAGGACACAAAACTCCGACACACAACAGAGCCACGGACACAAAACTCAGACACACAACAGAGCTGAGTACACAAAACGCCGTCACACAACAAAGCCGATGACACAAAACTCAGACACACAACAGAGCTGAGTACACAAAACGCCGACACACAACAAAGCCACGGACACAAAACTCAGACACACAACAGAGCCGAGGACACAAAACTCAGACACACAACAGAGCCGAGTACACAAAACTCAGACACACAACAGAGCCGATGACACAAAACGCCGTCACACAACAAGGCCGAGGACACAAAACGCCGACAAAGCCGAGTACACAACCGTGTGGTGGTCTCGACCCAACAAATAAAAAACCGGCGACTCTAAACGCAACACGAAAATCAACCGAAGCTTGAGGGCTCCCCGCGTTGTTCGTGAAATTCTGCGTGAATTAATCATTATTACAGTACTTACAGTCAGCCAAATCACACACACACACGGCACGGGCGATAGGGGACAGTCACACAACTACAGCCAAATAAACACCATCGCTACAAGCCTCCAAGATTGTAACCACCTCTGCTGGCCAACATGAACCGCTACATCAACACCGCCAACAACCACCACAACAACAATCATTGGTGTCACAAATTTTCCCTACCACCACTCACTCTGCCCAACCTTCTAAAAAAATATGACACTGATACAAATATAAGCAGCACCACTATCAACAACGTCACCACATTCTACCACTAAAACCGATCAACACACCACCATCACCTCCACTTACACCACAACCCTAAATAACACCACCACCAAGCATGAAACACTACCACCCTACAACCACACAAATAACACCACCACACCAATAACACCACCACACTAACCCCCATAACCACCCAACCGCAATTACGACCCAAAACACCATCACCACGCTAATAACCACCATCATCATCATCAACACAACCATCACCACCAGTCTACCACCGGTACAGCCCTTACCACCAAAAACAACACCATTATAACATTACCACAACGCAAATCACCACCACCATTGTAACCACTACAACCAATATAACCATATAATTGCTAACCACATAACTACAACCATAACCAGCATCACAATCACACAACTACCACCATAACCACCAACAACTATCACTAAAAACCCAAACCACCACTACAACCATAATCACTACCACCAAGATCTTAAACATTATCACCGTCGCAAATATAACCATCAGTATTACTTTAAACATCCCCATTACCACTACCACCAATACCACAACCTAGGCCAACACCACTAACAAAGCCTCAACTTTCACCACAGAAGCCACCAACAAAACCATCACCACTAAAACTATAACCAGCACTATCATCATCTTTACCACTAATCACGACCACCACCATAACTATCACCCATCATCACTGCCATCACTATTTCTACCACCACTATCACTCCACTAAAGCCATCAACATCGCCCACCATGACCACCACCACCACAAAAACCATCACCAAATACCACTACTATTTTCACTACCACCACTCCCACTAATTTCACGATCACCACGTTGAACACTACCACGATCACCACCACCTTTACTACTACCACGATCACAATCACCACTTCCATCATCACGACTACCACCACCACTACCACCATCACTACTACCACCACCCCTCCACCATGAATACCACCACCACCATCCGAGCCATCACCACCAGTATAACCACCACCACCATCATCATCATCATCACAACCGTCGGCACAATAACCATCATCAACCACCACTCCCCATCACCTTCAAACACCACCACCACCAACCAACATCACAACAATCACCACCATCACCACCGCGGCCGCCATGCTAGGGCCTCCAGCCTGGGCGCCATAGCAAGAACGCCTCCACTCCTCCTCCCAGTCTCTTCCTCCCCCGCTCTCTCTCTCTCACTCTCGCTCGCTCTCTCCCCCTCCATCCTCTGCCCGGCCACATCGCCGCTCGCTCCGCACACTCCGCCGCCCGAACCGGCGTCTCTCCGCGGCGCCACGGACTCACTTCTCCCGCGCCTGGGCGTCCGAAGGAACAACAGCGCCCTTCCCCTTGGCGTACATGCTGGCTGGCCGCGCCGACAGGCAGCCCCGCGCTGGACACCTCTCCCCCTCCAACCAGCCCGAGGACCCCGTCGTCAGGGGCGACCGGCGTGACGGCCTGTCAGGCGGCGCGCGCCCATTGGCTGGCGACGGGTGCGCGCGCGCGTGGGGGGGAGGGGGGGTGGGTGTGGGGGAGGGGCTGTGGATGTGGGGGAGGGGAGGGGGGGAGAAGGGGGTGGGGGAGGGGCGGGGGAGGCGGCGAGTGGGGGAGGGGCTTGTGACAGCAGTACAGTACACACATGGAGTGTACTGTACTTGCACACATACGTATTGTGTATGTGTACTGTGAACATGGCATGTGTACTGTGAACACACGGCATGTATACTACATACAGCACAACACACATGCTGTGTAGGGCACTGCCTATACACGTGTGTGTACTGTGTCGGGCATGTGTACTGTGAACATGGCACCTGTACTGTGAACACACGGCATGTACACTACATACAGCACAACACACATTCTGTGTAGGGCACTGCCAATACACGTGTTATACTGTGCAGGGCATGTGTACTGTGAACATGGCATGTGTACTGTGAACACACGGCATGTACACTACATACATCACAACACACATTCTGTGTAGGGCACTGACTATATACACGTGTGTGTACTGTGTAGGGCATGTGTACTGTGAACACGGCATGTACACTACATACAGCACAACACACATTCTGTGTAGGGCACTGCCTGTACACGTGTGTGTACTGTGTAGGGCATGTGTACTGTGAACACAGCATGTACACTACATACAGCACAACACACATTCTGTGTAGGGCACTGCCTGTACACGTGTGTGTACTGTGTAGGGCATGTGTACTGTGAACACAGCATGTACACTACATACAGCACAACACACATTCTGTGTAGGGCACTGCCTATACACGTGTGTGTACTGTGTAGGGCATGTGTACTGTGAACACGGCATGTACACTACATACAGCACAACACACATTCTGTGTAGGGAACTGACTATACACGTGTGTGTACTGTGTAGGGCATGTGTACTGTGAACACATGGCATGTACACTACATACAGCACAACACACATTCTGTGTAGGGAACTGACTATACACGTGTGTGTACTGTGTAGGGCATGCGTACTGTGAACACATGGCATGTACACTACATACAGCACAACACACATTCTGTGTAGGGCACTGCCTGTACACGTGTGTGTACTGTGTCGGGCATGTGTACTGTGAACACGGCATGTACACTACATACAGCACAACACACATTCTGTGTAGGGCACTGCCTATACACGTGTGTGTACTGTGTAGGGCATGTGTACTGTGAACATGGCATATGTACTGTGAACACGGCATGTACACTACATACAGCACAACACACATTCTGTGTAGGGCACTGCCTATACACGTGTGTGTACTGTGTAGGGCATGTGTACTGTGAACATGGCATGTGTACTGTGAACACGACATGTACACTACATACAGCACAACACACATTCTGTGTAGGGCACTGCCTATACACGTGTGTGTACTGTGTAGGGCATGTGTACTGTGAACACATGGCATGTACACTACATACAGCACAACACACATTCTGTGTAGGGCACTGCCTATACACGTGTGTGTACTGTGTAGGGCATGCTGTACTGTGAACACATGGCATGTACACTACATACAGCACAACACACATTCTGTGTAGGGAACTGACTATACACGTGTGTGTACTGTGTAGGGCATGTGTACTGTGAACATGCAATTGAGACGCATGTACACTACATACAGCACAACACACATTCTGTGTAGGGCACTGCCTGATACACGTGTGTGTACTGTGTAGGGCATGTGTACTGTGAACACATGGCATGTACACTACATACAGCACAACACACATTCTGTGTAGGGCACTGCCTATACACGTGTGTGTACTGTGTAGGGCATGTGTACTGTGAACATGGCATATGTACTGTGAACATAGCATGTACACTACATAGAGCACAATGTACATGTGTAGTGCACTGCCTATACACGTGTGTGTGCTGTGTAGGGGCATGTGTACTGTGAACATGGCATATGTACTGTGAACATAGCATGTACACTACATAGAGCGCGCTGCGCTACAAACCCGGCGGACCCGAGTTCGTTTCCTGCTTACGGCCAATATCAGTCGTGGGCCTCCGCACGGTCGACTCAGCCTCAAATGAGTACCCGGTGCGATTTGTAAACATCACTTGGGGAGACAAAGGCGGTCGGGCGTGGTTGCTGCCCCCCTCCCTCGTGTGTGCCGTGCCGGCCTTCATAGGTGGGTCACTGGGGGATCTTTGTGCAGAGCATGTGTGTTATAAACATAGCACGTGCACATCACATGTAGATGCACACATGCACACTGACACACAAATCGTGACATGTCCACGAGGTGGAGCTGTTGTGAGTGACCTCTGAAACGACGGTGTTCGAATGAATAAAAACCTCGTCATGGTTATTTTTGGTCTTCCCGTGAAAGTGATACAATTGTTTCGATTTAAAGCTTTCGTGACTGCAGGGATTTATCTTCTTGGTTCTTTCGGTAAAGTCATCACGTAGAAGAGAAATAATAAAATGATAAAAATAAAACATTAAATTATTCTCACGACGTTTCGGCCACAACGCAAGCAGCCGTCCTCAGGCTCATTCAGACGCTGTCTTTCCGACAGACCTGTTCTTCACCTGAGGACGGCTGCTTGCGTTGTGGCCGAAACGTCGTGAGAATTATTTTATTGTTTTATTTTCATTATTTTATTGTTTTATTTTCATTAGTTTATTATTTTCCTTCTACGTGACTTTACCGAAAGAACCAAGAAGATGATACAATTGTCTTATCTACCAACGGTAGGCATTTATAAACAATACGAAAGAAAACAAAGCACTCAAATGCTGTCCCCACTACACAGCCCCTTTGACACTGCCAAAAGCCTAAAGAACAATTAAAGATCAATCTTGATTTAAAGCTTTCGTGACTGCAGGGATTCATATTCTTGGTTCTTTCGGTAAAGTCACGTAAAAGGGAAATAATAAAATATTATTAATATAATACAATAAAAAAAAATTCTCACGACGTTTCGACTGCAACACAAGCAATCATCAGCAGGTGTGAAATCCACAGATTTTCAAATTTTCTTTTTGTGGATTTCACACCTGATGATGATTGCTTGTGTTGCAGTCGAAACATCGTGAGAATTTTTTTTAAATATAAATATTATTTTATTATTTCCCTTCTACGTGACTTTACCGAAAGAACCAAGAATATTTACCGAAATAATTAAAGATCAGCTGACACGATTCAGCAAGACCATACATGTGAATGGCACTTTGCACGGTGCATTCAGTTACACGTGTCAAACTTGGTTTATACAAAAGTACACTCTAACACCGCAACGCGGCAAGGTATTGTTCTTTATACGGTATTCTCCACGAGGACGCAAAACGATTAATCTGTGCTGTGTTTTTAAGTTGAGCTTGTAACTAGAACAGAGAGGGCTCTCTATGTCTGTAAAACGTCTGTGGGTTCATCACCAGCATTGGTTGAAGCGAGCTTGACTGCTGGTGCCACACTTGAATGTCGAAACGGGTCTAGATTTCCCCCCCCCCCCTTGTGTTGTGAACCAATGTTTGCTGGAATTATGCACTCACAGAAGGCCGTGCAGCTGATGGGATGTGTTAAAAATCACGTGGCTTTTTGTGTGTGAAGGAGGTGAATAGCCAACACATGTATTCTTAAACTATCAAAATTAAACTATTTTTTTATTTTACCAGGTAAATCCCGATGAACTTTATAGCTTTTTTGCGGAAGCGATCTGGGCGCAAATGATAGTTCTAGATTTGAAGATTTCGTGACTGCAAGGATTCATACTCTTTTGTTTTTTCGGTAAGGTCAATAATAAAAAATAAACTCCTATCCAGGGGCCTGTCCTGGCTCCTCCCCCCTCAACCAGTATATATACGGGGTCGGATCTCTTGGAATTTCTCATTTACTTGATACAGCTATCGTGCTGTGACGGTTCCACCTGAAGACGGAGGCTTGTGTTGCCTCCGAAACGTCGTGATTTTTATTTAATTTCGATTTTACTTTTATTAATTTTTATTTTTTACCTACGTGACTTTACCGAAAAAACCCAAGAATATGAATCCTTGCAGTCACGAAAGCTTCAAATCTAAAATTAAGGTCACGTAGGTAAAACATTTTTTTAATTAAATCACGACGTTTCGGGCGCAACAAAAACGTCCTTCTTAAGCGGTGTGCTTTCGCTAAATTGTCCCCACCTGAAGAAGGACACTTGTGTTGCGCCCGAAACGTGGTGATTTAATTTATTAAAATTTTTTACCTACGTGACTTTACCGAAAAAAACAAAGAGTACGCAAATGATAGCTCAACGCAGTGGCTTATCGCGTGGACATTTATAGCAGCCAAATACTCTAAACGCGTGACGTTGATTCTAAACGTGGAGCGAAAAACTGGAGAACCCGGAGAGAAATCCACACGACCACGAGGAAAACATGCAAACTCCAAATATACAGCAGCAGGTGTCAGGGTCGGAATCTAACCCATAACCTCCTGTATACCTAGGCGAGGTAGTTAACATCTCTGAGCCACCATGGCGAGATAGATTTGGATCTTCCTGGGTGGTTGCCCAGTTTGTGGAATTGCCCCTGTACAGAAGAGAGTTGACCTGCAGAGAGATCTGGACTATGGGTGGTGTTGGTGATGATCTTGATGAGCACTACCATCATGTTTTTGTGCTGTTTGTTATTGTAACCTTCTTACTCACCCCTGCTGGAGATCTGTGTAAAAGAGCTTTATAGCTGATCGGATTCCTCATGCAGTCTAAATACATATTCTAATTCTGAAGTTAATACTGGTAGGAACCACCTGGTTCCACCAGCCCACAAGGGATTATTGTGTCCGTCCGTCGTGCATCAAAAAATGTGAGTGGTGGGGCTGGGTGGAGAGGGGAGGGTGGGGAGAGGTTGGGTGGGGAGGGTGGGGATGGGCTGGGAGGGTGGGGAGGGGCTGGGTGGGGAGGGTGGGGCTGGGTGGGGGGTGGGATT